CCCCCCCCCCCCCAATCGGATCAATCTCTTGATCATGGATGTGATTCTGCGTTCAGATCCGCCTTCTCGCATCTATCCCGAACCCGAAACCCTAGAGATCGACCACTTTGATCGTCTCCCCGATGCCATCCTCCTCCTCGTCTTCAACAAGATCGGCGACGTCAAGGCCCTCGGCCGCTGTTGCGTCGTCTCCAAGAGGTTCCATTCCCTCGTTCCTCAGGTCGACAACGTCGTTGTCCGTGTTGATTGTGTCATCTCCGACGACGACTCCTCCTCCCCTTCGTCTGATAAGCGCCGGTCCGTCACTGCCGTTGCCGCCGGCCCTGTTTCCGCCATCTTTCGACTCGTCTTCGGTGGCATTGTCAAGCCGATCCAGGCATTGGGGCAGTTCCTTGGCACCAAGCGCTCATGCGCCACTGCTTCTTCCTCTTCTCTCTCCATTAGTGGGGACGACGATGGAGAGATCGCACAAGGTGGCGTGACCCACCACTCTCCTACCCAGGTATTGAAAAACTTCAATGAGATTCGCTACCTTCGCATCGAGCTTCCCAGCGGTGAATTGGGGATAGACGACGGGGTTTTGTTGAAATGGAGGGCGGAATTTGGTTCCACCCTTGATAATTGTGTGATTCTCGGTGCGTCATCCGTGATCCACACGAACCCGGACACAGCCATCGATCCGAGCGGCGCCGAAGATAATGGGAGTATACCCGAGTCGTTTTACACAAACGGAGGGCTGAAACTGCGAGTGGTGTGGACAATAAGCTCCTTGATTGCTGCATCGGCACGACACTATTTGCTGCAACCAATAATTGCGGAGCATAAGACGCTTGGTAATCTACTGCTCACTGACGCCGATGGCCAAGGAGTGCTTTGTATGAACAAGGACCAGCTGGAGGAGCTGAGGATTAAACCCTTGTCAGCTTCTTCGGCTTCAAAGAGGACCCTTGTACCGGCATTGAACATGAGGCTGTGGTATGCTCCACACTTGGAATTACCTGATGGCACAGTGTTAAATGGCGCTACTTTGGTGGCGATAAGGCCAAGCGAGTCGAAAAAGGAGGCATGTGATGTGTCTTGGGTATCCTCTGCGTTCGAGGAGCCTTACAGGACAGCTGCGAAGATGTTGGTCAAGAGAAGGACTTACTGTCTTGAGATGAACTCGTTCTAGCTGAGGGTTTCAGTCGGATCTGAAGTAAGTTCGCGGGCATGTTCCCCTTGATCAACTTATGAAGTGATTTGATTGTCAGTTGTTCGTATGTTGCAGATGAATGGGTACTGATTTCAGATGAAAAACTCTGGAGTCTGGATCTTTATTTGATTAGCTTTGTCCCTGCACACAAGTATGATATGGAACCGTTATAATGTTATTGTCCAGCATTTGTAGAGTTCTGGCATGGTCCTAGGCAAGATCACCTCCTATCATCAAGACGCTAAACTTAGGGCATGTCAACATGTACATGAATATGTTAACCTTGCCCTTCACCACAACATATTACAGTATCACAAATGAGTAATTTAGTTGAAAAGGGGAGCAATTGGTGAAGCAAGCTTTGATTATAAATCAATTTTTTGCAGATTGGAAACTTTTGTTTAATGCACTACTAGGACTTGAGAAGAACCTCTTCATTGATGTCCTTTCTTGTTTCTCAGGAAAAACTCGAACTTTATCCAGGCTGCAAAAGGGAGATGGATGCATAGTATAAGCACAAGAAATGGAGAATCAAGGAAAGAAAAGTTTTGGGAATCAGGAAAACCAGTTTTGCATTGCCTGTTCTGACTAATCTGGGATTTTGGTATGGGCCTAGTGCCTGTTCTTGGTCAAAATCTCTGCAACTTGTAGCTTCTACCAATGCTGTGATCGGACACTCCAGACCGCATCTGCTGGCTGTTTTTCTTTCAGGAAAATGCTTTGTATAACAGCTCGAAACATCCACAACGACGACGAATATCTTAAGATCCTCTTCTGTCTTGTAGTTAGTTAAATCTTCATGTCCCCTTCTTCTTCTTCCTCTTTGTTCTTTTGAATGTGAATATGGTAGCTACAAGAAACATTTGTTTATCCCTGTATTACATACTTCTTTAAGTTAAAAACTGAAACAATGTAGTCCTTGCTAGTGTCTTTAGCATAAAACAGTTGTTATTGTGTTCAATGAATGGCGAAGTAATTAAAGCCTTTGTGTTCGGATTGGAAAGAGGGGTACTACTTGCTCATTAAAGCCTCTCTTCACTCAGCCCTGCATCCACATCTATTACAATTTCATGTGTTTCTCTCTGTAGCAGCGAGACTTCAGAAATCTGTATTTGCCCAATATGGGCTTAGAATGGGCTTATAGATGAAGAAGACTAATGAGCTAAAAAAGACAAGGCATATGAAAGCTTAGGCCTAAGAATTGGGCTTAGAGAGAGACGGATCATCCATGAAAACATATGAACATTTTGGGAAACAGGGAATATTCCTTCACACTACACACATGCTTATTACACATGTATCATATACATGTACATATGTATATATGACGTATGAATCGCCAATACCTTGAAAGCAAACCAGTTTTTTCAACTAAACGGGTAAAAAACGTGGCACACAGATGAAATCTTGATGCCAAAAACAAAAAAACTCAGAATACACAATTGAGCTTGGCGATGATGGATCCTGCTGCTACTGTTCCATAGTTTCTGCATCAAGAATACATCTTCAATCCAGATTTCAGTAACATATTGTAGGGTTTCGGTATATTATGTCAAGATTGCGCAAAACCATAAACCAAATGAAGAAAAGAACGTTTTCCCTCTTGGCAAACCTCTAAAAGGCCGAAGAGAGGATATGGGGTATACATAGTTAAAATGCTATATGAGTCTATGACCCAAGAGAAACTTCCAAGAGCATGGGAGAGTTTCATGAACTTAAAGACTCCATTGCATATGCTATGAAGTCTATAGATATATTACCTTGTTATCTTCTAACAAATAGCAACAAAAATGTTATGTTTGAAAGAGACAGACCTAGAAGAAGATTGGACTTACATCTGTTTTCCTCTCTTCAATTCGATGCATCCAACAGGTTCTTTACAAATTTTTATTAAAAAAAAAAGAAAAGAAAAAGACAAAAGCTATCATTTTGATGTTTTTGTCTGTGTTTCACTTCATGTTTATTTATTTCCCAACACTTGAGACTTGAGAGCCCCGAGAAATAAATTTACTTTCATTTCTTGTTTGTGAATTACCCATTTCTTTCAAATATGTATTTGATTTGATTGAATCTAGTATTCCTTTAAAAGGATGACCCTATTGCCTAGACTTTGTCTTGCTGATGAAAACCGAGAGAATATATAAAGACATACATATATACATATTCTTCATTTCTGATGCATGCAGTTAGAATCTTTTTTTTTTTTTGAAAGATCTTAAAATCCAGATTTAACCGGATAAGATTGCCTGTCTTCTCTGACACCATCATTAATGCATATATATACCACTAATACATATACATGGTCCATAGAGATAAGACTGAAACTAACCGGTTTGGCTGTTTTTCATCTACCATGTGATTTGGTGTGTATACTACAATAATTAAATACAAATGTTGCAGAAAATAAGGCAGATGACACTACACAAAAACATTTGTAACCAAGAACAGCAAAGACTCGCTTCATTATGTTCTTTTTTATGTGACCCATTCATCTATATATAGGACATAAACCCTAGGAACACATGCACGGATTTAGAAAGACAGCAGGTCAAGAGATTTATAAGAACAACCAAAACAAAACAACAAGAGGTGCTTACAGAGATTCGCGATCCCCCTGAACAATCAGGTTGCCCAAAGTGGAGGATATTTTCAGCTCTTTCCTTTGCCCTTTTGCTCCGAGTTTCTGCATCCATTTTCATTGCAAAGCTGAAATTGGAGGTTGTGGTGGTGATTCTCTGCGGGCAGTGCACCGATCAAGAACGGTGCACCGCCCCCACTTCCACCTCCATCCGAAGAAAACCTCTGGAGATTAACGAGGAAAGATTGATGATTTTGAGAATTGGACTGAAGGGTCCCCCTGTTGGAACCATTGAAACCAGCCATGGCGGAGGAAGATGGTATGTTGAAGTCAAGATTGAAGGATGCGCCGACAGCTGGGGATATCAGATGGTCAGGAACGAAGGAAAACTCCTGGTGAGGGTGCTGATGCTGATGCTGATCAGACATTGTTGAGAATGGCAAAGAGACGGTCTGAAAAGGGAACTGAGCTTGACCCGACCCTAGAAGCAGACCCGAACTGATATACTCCATTGGAGCCGGCGAAGCCATCCATTGCCGGCTCTGGTTAACAGAACCGGTCTCCGATCCTGCGTGAACCGAACCGGTGAGCAGCTCAGTGAAAGAAGCGTGGCCATGGCTGTTGTCGTTCACGGTGTGGCTTTCTCTCTCCTTCTCCTTCGCCGTTCTCTCTCTGGCTCTCTCCCGGGCCTCATCCCGGAGCTCAGACCGGGAAAGCGACAGACCCGAGTTCTTGCTCGTCTCGGAATTGCTGCTACAAGCAGATTTAGACAATGAAGCTGTCTGCTCCTGAATCGAGTTCGGGTTCTGGGTCAGGTTTTCAGCAAGTACGTTTTCGTTGCCGGCGATTCTCTCGTCGTCGGTCGGAAAAGTAGCGTTGAGAGATGGAAGCTCGGAGATGGCATCGGCGGCAGCCCTAATTAGCCACTCGACCGCCTTGCTCGGTTGGTCGTATCCTAACCGGTCTTGGAGGTCATAGAACTGGAGAGCTGTGGGGACCGATAACCGGACCCGCCGGTCACGTGGACCTTTTGAAGTCCAGACCTTGCTGTGCCGGTCTTTCCTGCCGGAGACTTTTGAAACCCTAATTATCCGGGAAGAATGGTGGTGCCAACGGCTTAGACGGTTTCCGATATCTCCGGCAGCGATACCGTTGTTACCGTTAGTGTTGTTACCAGCCTTCTTCATGCCATCTCGGAGCATTTCACCGGTCCGACCGATTTCGGGGAACATCTGAATATTCTCAATCTCCATATCAACAGTCTCATGCCTCTTTCTTCACCACCCAATGATTTAAAAATCTCAACTTTAGGGTTTTTTTTTTGTGTGTGTGTGTGGATCTGGTCGTCTGATTTAAAGAAAGAGAAATATGGGCTTCCCCACACTGTATTGCATTGATGATGATAATCCCCAGAAGGGGAAAAAATAGTTTCGTTTGAATTTAGGGTTTGGATATTTCACCGTCCAAGTCAGTAGTTACAGAACCATCAAAACTGCTGTCTGAAAATTTTGCAGCCATAACCTGCAGCAAGAAGGGGCAAACAAACAAGAAGAAATGATCTCAATATGTTTAAAAAAAAAACCTATCTTGCATACATAATTATTACAGTAGTTTCAACAACTAATACTCAGAGGATTGACTTTCATAACCTTTACATTTACAAAGTGACAACTTGTAATTTTCTTTCACACGGATCTACAATTTTTTTTTATTCGAAAGTCTCGTTTGTAAATCTGACACATATGCGTCACGTCGTTATCTTACAGCTTCAAAGAATAGATTTGTCAAAAGGGTTTCCAAGATGATGATGATGATGTCAACTAAAAGTCTGCAGACAACAAGAGACACCCAAGAAGGCAAAATGAAGGTGACGATGATGATAAGATAATCTCTACAAGATCGATAGACTGTAAGTGAAGTATTAACATAGTTTTAATATTTGTGAATAATAATGATAATAATTGAAACGACTTTCTCGGTATCGCCTATCTCGTTGTTGGTTCTTCTTCTAGGAAAAAGAAACAAAAATCAAGGAATCATTATTGCAATTTGCAGGCTCTGATGCGATGCTGAGTCTGTGAACAGGTGTCAGTCTCAAGCTTTTTTTTCTATAAAAAAAATTCTTCGTCCCGTTTGAATTGGCCTTATTTGGCACACAAGTTCTTCGATTTCAATCTTTTGCTGGAAAAAAAAATTTTACGAACTGGTAGATCTAGGGTTTAAGATCGAAAGTCGAAAAATGAAAGGAAGATGTTGGAAAATCGGGATTTTAGGTCTAGGGTTTAGATTTCGTTTACTGGGTGCGAGAAAGCAGCCATTAAAGAGAAAATTTTAGAAGCTTTTTTTAGCGAGAAGAATTTGAGACTTACGGGGCGAGCTGAGATGAGCTGTGCAATTGTCGCGGGAAAAAGGCTTAGGGTTCTAGCGTTGTACGGATGGTGCAAAAATGGGAAGGAAAGTGGAGGAAAATCCGAGAAAATGGGAATTTCGATTATGGTGATTTAAAGGAGTGATACTTGAGAGAGAGAGGGGGCATATATCGGGCAAGAACCGCAGTTTATGCCTTTTCCCCATTTTACCCTTCTCCAATCACTTTTTACTTTAATTCCCGTACTTCATTGAAAATATATATATATACACTAATAAAAAAGTTTGGTAATTAGTTTTTCATCATTTTACAAGTTTAGAAATTTTAATGAGATTTACCCATTTTTTTATAACACTATTTTTTCTTTTTTCTATTCATATAATGAATATATCTACCAACAATCCAATAGTTGGTAGATGGAATTATTCTGTTTACTCGAATAGGATATCTTTATTTTTATCTTTATTTTCTAATTATATGGTTTTTAAAATTCTATTAACTACTATCGTTGTATTCCTAAACAAACATATGCGATTGTATTAAATATATATGTGTGTGTGTTTGCGAGTATATATATTCATCTAAAAATGAAAAATATTTCATGTTGTTGTTATTATTATTATTATTATTATTATTATTATTATTATTATTATTATTATTATTATTATTATTATTATTATTATTATTATTATTATTATTATTATCTGTTAATTTAGAGGATGACGTCGTAGTAAAGCACGTAGATTGAATGCATGAGACATTCGGTATCGTGTTTTCTTCATTTGTCAGATCAGATCTTAGGAATTTAACAATATTTTTTGTAGTCAAACAATTTAAAAAAATAACAAAAATGGAGATAATATAATTTATAATTTATACGTAAAAGGATACATACTCAGATCAAATCACAAATACGAATCTGATCAAAGAGAGCTATTCAACGTTTGGACAAGAGATGCAACTTCCCTCCGGACTTCATCTCTTCTCACTTTTCCGGTCGAAGTCACCGGAAAATGCTTCTTCCACCGGAAAAACCTCTTTGGAATCTTGAACCTGTCACCAAATTCATAAGCCCATCAAAACAGATTCAGACATAACTCAGCGTGAATCTTGAACTCTACCCAGTTAGATTCTGCGTTCTGCAATAACGCCGGAGAATCTCGCTCGACAGAAGAAGATCTTCTCCGCTTGTGTCGGAGCCGTCGAGATTTTCTTCAGACCACTGCCATTTCTCTTTAAGACAGACACAAGCAACAACCATCTCTCCAAGACGAGTCTCTGCAACTCCTGTCACAACTGCAGACAGAACTCCAGGATGCTGCAATAGAACAGCCTCGACCTGCAACGAAGTTCAACTCGAATATATCCCGGAAATCACGAAAACCCGCGTTCAAATCCGTGTTACCGATGAGGTTTAACCCAAGATTCATCAATTGAAGTTTAGAGAACAGTTTTTTTTCTTCTTTTTTTTTCGGAGCTAACCTCTTCAGGGTATACATTCTCGCCTCCGGACTTAATTCTTCCGTTGGATCTACCGATGAGCCATAAGTTGCCAAACTCGTCAATTTCCCCGATATCGCCAGTTTCAAGCCAAGCTCCATTGCTGGATTCAGATCCTGCAATGTTAACTTGGACCTTACCCCAGTATCCGAGCATTACGTGCGGCCCCCGAGTTAGAATTTTCCCGGTACTTGACGAATTTTCAAGGTGAATCTTCAGTTCAACATGAGGTGCAGGCTTTCCGACACAAATCCCTTGAGGTCGGTGGATTGAAATGAATTTCTCAGCACGAAGGATCGATGAGTTTGACTCGGGTTTTGGATCATAGAGGGTCATGAATGTGAGGGAAGAACAGGTTTCTGTCATCCCTTTCGAGAACCAAAATTCACAAAGAATTACGTTCATAACCGATATGCATAGTAAAAATCCGGAAAATGGAAGAAAGATAAGCGTAACTAACCATAAGCCGAGAGGATTTTAGCTTTCGGGAAGATTTTTATGGCGTCTATTAAGAGCTCGTTCGATAAGGATCCACCTCCATTCAATATCTTTCTGACACTAGCCTTTTGAATTCTACACCCCTTTGCCCTTGAGGGAAATTTCAGATCGTGAACAAAGAATACCGGTTTTTCACCATTTAAGACCCGATATATATATATATGTGTGTGTGTGTGTGTGTGTGTGTGTGCATTGTTTTCAATTATTTTACGGTTCCTCAAACGATTAATTAATTATGTCTTGAATAACAATACGAACTGAATAAGTTTCATACATACATGCGTACATCCAACATGTGCGTGGATGTATGTTACAGATTATATGCATTTATTAATTAATGCACAAACGATATAAATCTTGTTACGTAATGTTTGATATTTTTTAGTGACGGTGAACCAACGAAGAAATTTGTAATCATTAGATTATTTCATTTTGTAAACTAATTTCGACTGAATATTTAAAAAGTGGAGCCTCTTTTTTTTTTTTTAAAGAGGACCTTTTTCGTATATGATATTATATTTATTTACCTTTTAAAAGCTCTAGATTTATAGTTTTTGTGCATTAAGGTATAAAATATAAGGATAAGAAATGGGTGCATTTTTGTTTTTGTGAAACTTGATAAATCTAATTATATTATATAGCTCGATTTAAATGAAGTTAATTCTATAACTCGATTTAATTACACGAGCTAATCTAACATTTACAATTATGACAAAAAACGAAAAGTCGATTATACATAATTTTTTCGAGGAACTGTTATTACATGTCGATTTCATTAATATTTATGGTTAAAAAAAGAACAAAATTAATCATTATGAGGAATTCAATGATAGCGAGAAAAAAAGGAGCAAGTGGGTGACTCTAAGCTCATGTTAACGATTGGCTCGAGAGTGGGGACAGGGACACGTGTCGATTTCTTAAAGGATATCAGCTTACTCCTCGATCACTGTTGCCTTTACCAGACCACTGCACGTGTCCACTTCTTGGTCACCCACATTTTCTTTCCTTAATTTTACCCTTTCGTTATTTTCGTATTTTTTGTTATTAAATAAGTCTAACGATATAAAATTATATTGAATAATGACATTATGATAAGATTAATTTCTATTTTTTTCTAATATTTTTTTATGGTTGCGCCCTGATTTAAAGGAAAACAGTTTATAACATATGATGTATATATTATTTGATTATTTCGAAAAACATATAGATTAATATATATTGAGTGTGTTTATGAGATATAGAATGTGGCTTTTTGTATTAGCTAGAGACATGAAAATTTTCGTTTACTTTTAAATTTCAAAACTATATAATGTGAAAAAAATATATGGAATAGTGGTTGATATTATTTATTTATTATTCAGACTGATTGGTGTACTGTGTGATAGCAGTGAGGGATGTGATGTCATGATGTTAGATGCCAGCTTTTCATTTTGTGTGTACTATTATTTGGTCTTTGCGACTATGTGCCTGCAGAAATAATTCGTTTCTTTGTAATTATTGGTCGATTTTTATCGTTACTTTTGGAAGAAAAAAAAAAGGTATTTCTTTGTCTTTTCCAAATTCATTTTTAATTATTTTTTTGAAAGAAAGACGTATTATATACGATCATTATTAGCAATTTCCATGGCCTCCTTAATTAGTAGTTTGTGTGTACATTACATATATGTGTGTACATGTGTATAAGCATATCTCCGTATTGTTTACGTATATTTATATATATGTACATTCCATTCATCTAGCATGTCAAATTATATCATATGTATAATCATACACGCACAAGTGCACACGCATTATATATCGGATCCTGATTCCAGATGACGTGGAACCACATTATGGTTGAACGCGCATACGTACGTGTTATATATATATATATATATATATATATGAATAGAAAAATGCTAGCTTTATTATATAGTCGCATGGTATATATATGCCATTGAATGCCGAAGGGCATGGATGGTCATGCTTGTATTATTGTGATCGACTAAAATGATTTTCGGTTATTCATTGCTACCTTACTCTAAAGGTACATATTTATTTGGTTTTGAATATATATGGGCGGACTTATGTGTGTACATAGGAATGGGGACACATGTCCCCATTTGATTATTTAAAACTTTAATTTTTTTTTCTAAAATTTATAAAAAAATTAGACAAAATTCTTAAGTGCCCTCCACTAAAATTAAATTTATCTTTATACTTTTTGTATGTATTTTTTTTATTAATTTTTTATATTTATATGCCTGTCCCCGCTTACAAACATTTTTTGGTTCGCCATATGTACATGTTTATGTATATATAAAGGAAAATGCACATCCTTGTCCTTGTATTATTCCGTTTTCAATATTATCACTGTCGCTCATATCACGAGTCGTGAAAATATCGTTTTTGAAATTTAAATGGCTAAACAATTTTTATTTTTTTAGTTTTGATTGACGGGGGTGGTGTTGGCTTGTCTTTGATATTAATAAATAATAACTTAAGACCTAGAGAATATTGTACGTAATTCGTTATTTTAGTTAGTGCGTGGACTCTGTTTAAATATTAATTTAATTATTAAATAAGTATTAAAATATAAATGATTAAGTTATACAAAATCGAGGGACAGAAATGAATCTAGCGGGTCATTACTCATATAAATATATGTTTGTCAATTAAACCTATGCTATATAAGGATTAAACCATAAGCTTGATTTGAAAGATAGGCACGCCCAAAGGTATACTCCTTTCCATTATTAGATTAACTATATTTAATTATTGTCGTTACAAATACATTAATTAATTAATGGCCCCTGTAAATAAAGTTTTTTTTTATTGTGCATAGAAACAATGATTATTTATCAAAGTATGGAAGGACCACACCATAAATTTGCAAACAACGTATACTTATATACCAAAATTAAATGTTTTAAAATAGTTAAAGTTCCAAAAATCGTTTTAAACCAAGTCAATAAGATTGATGCAGTCCACATCAGTCACCATAGACATACATATTCTTTCCAAAAACAACCCCAATATATTAAAAAAATTACATAGAAAGACATTAAATTTCTGAATATTTATTAGATTTGATTATTTTTGGCGTTTTTTTGTTTATAAAGAAATATAGGTTTCAATAATATTTTGACGGTTACTTGTGTATATAAATGGCAACGAGAAAAGGGCTTGTAAAGGTCTATTGTTTTTTTGTCTACATATAAATAATTTAAATAATTATTATTTAGATACAAGTCGAAGAGGGGCCCTGGGGTACAAAAAATTTCTAGAGAAGTACAAATAGAGAAATGGGCCAGGACGATGCATACTCTGGGCTTAAAACTTTCTGCATTGGCCCATAACCGAACCCTCTCAGACATCCAGAGGATTCACGTTGCTATCACGCCATATCTTTTTGCGACTATTATACCCCTAATGAAATCATGAATTTACCATCACCTACCACAGTTAAACCCTCCTCCTCCCCCTCCGTCCTTCGCTGCTGCAAATCTGTTTTGCTATTAGTTCTCTCTCTCTCTCTCTCCGTAGATAGTATCGTAAAGTTCATTTTTTATGGATTTTATCTGATGATATGATTATTGTATATATATAAATTTATTTTTATAATCTAAAAGTTCACCGAACATAACTGACAAACCCATATAAATGTTTCCTCAAGTGAAGATTCCCAGGGAGAAGGGGCCTTCGACAAGGTTGCCCTTTATCTCCATACCTCTTCGTTTTGGGTATGAATGTCCTGTCGATGATGTTGGATGAGGCTGCAGAAAAAGGGGTTTTTGAATTCCATCCAGGCTGTAAAGGTATTGGGATAACACATTTATGCTTCGCTGATGACATATTGATCTTCTCCAAAGGGGATTTGAAATCGGTTCAGGGTGTCCTTGGAGTGCTTCACCAGTTCTCCATCATTTCAGGGTTGTCTATAAACAGAAACAAATGCTCATTCATCGTAGGAGGAGTTTCAGAAGCGGATACTGTCACATTGCAGGTCTCGACAGGGGTTAAAGCAGCAAGCTTACCTTTGAGATACCTCGGAGTACCGTTAACCTCCAGGAAACTCAGCATTTCCGACTGTCTTCCCTTACTGGAACGTCTCAGATCGCGATTCTCATCATGGACAGCTCGGAGCTTGTCATTTGCCGGTAGATTCCAATTGCTCCAATCAGTAATCGCAGGCATTATCGGGTACTGGCTACAGGTATTTGTATTACCAAAAGGATGCATTAGGGAAATAAACTCAATGTCTTCCAGATTCCTATGGAGGGGGAGCCCTGATATTGCGGGAGGAGCTAAGGTAGCATGGAACACTGTCACTACACCAAAGGAAAATGGAGGTTTAGGGCTGCGAAACATTCAGACTTGGAATGAGGTATCCATTCAAAAATTGATATGGTCATTATTCTTTAGAAACGGATCATTATGGGTGGCATGGATCAAAAGCAAATACATCCGAACGCGCAGCTTTTGGAGTATCAAGCCACAAGCTGGTCATTCATGGATCTTTCGGAAACTGCTCAAAGGGCGAGCAAAAGCCAGAAACTTCATTTCAACATCGATAGGGAATGGATTAAATACATGGTTTTGGTGGGATAATTGGTCATCTTTAGGTCCTATGATTGACTATCTCGGTTGTGCAGGCCCTACACGTTTGGGTATCCCTTTGCAAAGTAAAGTGGGAGATCTACAAAGGGATGGAACTTGGTGTTTACCTCCTGCAAGATCAGATCAACTCACCAATCTTTACGTTCTCTTGTCAGAAAAGGAACTCTCGGATCAAGAGGATACTACAATTTGGACAGTTGAAAACAAGATCCGGGAGAACTTCTTGGCAAAAGAGGTATGGCAAGCAATTACCCCAACACTACCCTCGGTTCCCTGGCATAGAACTGTATGGTGCAGATTCCGTACTCCTAAACACTCATTCATAGCATGGTTGTTTGTCCTTGATCGATGCCCAACAAGGGAACGAATGATGCAATGGGGTATCCAAACACAATCGTCATGCTTATTCTGCGGAAGAGGAATAGAAAGCAGAAATCACATCCTCTTCGAATGCCACATGAGTAGTGAACTGTTCCGAAACACTATGAACAGGTGGGGACCGTTGCCCACTCTTACAACCTGGGAAGACACTCTCACATGGTTAACAGGAAGGTGGAATTGCAAACACCGATTTTGGGGAGCTTGCATATCATGGCAGATAATCATTTATATTATTTGGTCTGAAAGAAATTCAAGACTCCACAATTCAACTTTCAAAGACTTGGTGGTGCTGCGTAAAGACATAGATCGTGCTTTCCGCACAAAGATGGCTGCGATACGGTTAACTCACCCGGAAACAGCCAGCATTCTACTACAAATCTGGTTCTCAGGTTCTTGAAGCTCTCAACACTTCCTTGATCGAATCACTGTCTCATTTGGGTCCTCTGTATTCCTCTTTTTTTGGGTTACTTAGCCTTCATCCACTGCTAATTAGCTGTCTGTAACTGATTTTGATGTACAATTAAGTTTAATTCAATATACACAACCTTTAACAAAAAAAAAAAGATTCGAACCCAAGATTAGAAAAGAGTGTTACTCTCATCTTTAACGTTGAGCCACCCAGAATTGGATTGGTATATGAAAATTTAGGTTTGTTTTTGCGTAAACCATCAAATGTACTCGGAACTCTTCACGACCCAGGGGATATAGGTTAGACGGAAGGCCTAGGTGAACTTGTTACAGAAAAAAAAAAAAAAGATAGCAGCTTTTAGCCATTTCCGAGGCTGTCTAGAGCTTTACGATGAAACCCATTTGTTCCTTCTCTTCAGCTTTCCACACATACCAAATGATTCCAGTTATGTCCGCTAACAGCTGCAAAGAACACAACCATCGATCGTTGTGTTCCTCTGACCCAATAAGCTGAAGTAGTTTTGTCCATTTGTGACGAAATGCAGAGATTCTATTTCTTGATTGCAAGGTTTGGTAATGGAAACCATTACCATACTTGTATCTGTTTCATGGGTTTAAAATAGTCTCCGAAATTAGGCCTTACCGTTAATTCCTCCTAAATAGGAGGACCATCTCTGTCATATAAAAGAGGAAACAATTACGAAAATGGAGAGAGAGGGAGAGAGAGATTCAGATGTTGCAAGAACAACCCTCCTCAAATCCAATCCAGATCTCCGACGAGGACGACAGTGACGATGATGATATCAGGTACACGAGCCTGAGAGATGTAATCTCAAGATCCTCTGTATCGTTTCTCCACCAACGAAACTCTTCTCTTGAAGGATTGTTTCCTCCGGAGATGATGGATTATTCGAACATCGCCATTAGAAACGAGCTCGTGAAACGAGCGGCTTCAGTCTACCTTAACTCCTCGATGGTTGTCGTCGTCCCCGACCTCAACTGGTTCCAGAGACTGTCTTTGAAGGCCAAGCATTTGGTCTTCGTCGCCGTCGCTTGTCTCCGACCAGCTTACCGGCTTTTTGCTCGTATAGTCATCGATGTTTCCAGAAGAATGATTCGTTTTTCATAGTTTTTCCTCTCTTTTTTTTTTCTCGTTTTTGTAAATATGCTCGGTAAAAAAAATATGTCAAGAAATTGTATTTCTCTCTTCGGTAATTCGCAGTAGTTACTTACATTCTGGTTCCGTGAATTATATAATATGATATGTGATTTCTTTTTTCACCTGATAAAAATGTAATTACTGCTAGTAGATTTTTTTAATAGAATTAAGAAAAATATCAGGAGAAATATCAGCCGTTGGATCAGATGACTTTTGTGATCGCCATTGGTTTTTGACTCTCCTGGCTTTGTAGAAACCGCTCGAGCCCACCATTTCTCTCCTCTTTTAAAAATTTCCGTGCCGGTGATTTTCTCGTCTTCTGCGATATTTTCTCGGCAACCAAACAAGGATTTTCCTAGTGGAGATTTGTGAATGGCGGTTACGGAAGTTGGAGGCGCGAAGAAGGATAACAACGGACCGACGAAGCGGCAGAGTTTGCTGTTAGGAGCTGTCGCCGCCGTTCTTATCGCCGCCGCCGCCGCCGTTCTTTTCTCGAAATCTCAGAATTCGTCGATTACTGGCTCTCCCTGCAAGCTCTGCCATTGCGGCCAGGTTTGGTATTTGTTAAGCCCTTCTAAATTCGGTTTGAGTACTTGGAAAGCTGAAGAAAACGTCAATGAATTTTGTATGATCGCTATTGGGTAAATAATCTGTCTGCTCAAGGTCGTGATCATAGAAATTTATCTCAGGGATTTTGTTTGTATTAAGATTAATTTAGGAATTTTGTAAGTACCGGATTTCGGGACGAATGATAAATATACGTATTCCGAGTGCAGAAATTAGACAGATCCAATGTATCAGAAAAAAAATTTGATCCATGAGTTTACAGTCATGAATTTCAGGGAAATTAGTCGGTTTATAGATTTTCGTTGAATTTTCAGTTGATTTGTTTGCTCATTGGATTCTCTAGGATCAGAAGCAGAAGTATATTGGTATAGTTGAAGACTGTTCTTGTGATTATCAGACTGTGAACCGATTGAACACAGAAGTATTGCATCCACTGCTTCAAGACCTTGTTAGAACGCCATTTTCCCGGTATTTCAAGGTTTGATTCTTTTCCTTTGATGTTTAGCATGAGAAGCTGGAGATCTGTTTCTCTATCTCTCTGTGTTTGGATCAGAGATCATACCTGTATGATTTATCTCAATCTCTGACTTTTTGTTGATTCGTCTATCTGATAGGTTAAACTGTGGTGTGATTGCCCGTTTTGGCCTGATGACGGCATGTGTCGTTTAAGGGACTGTAGTGTTTGTGAATGTCCTGAAAGTGAGTTTCCTGAACTATTCAAGAAGCCCCTAAGTCAAGATGATCCTGTTTGCCAAGAAGGCAAACCAGAAGCTACTGTCGATCGTACCTTAGATACTAAAGCTTTTAGGGGTTGGAGGGTCACAGACAATCCGTGGACGAGTGATGATGAAACTGACAATGGTTTGTCTGTCTCTTTTCCTGCGCAATCTGATACATCATTCTTTTATGTTCTATGCATTTGCTACTCCCATGTCAAAAACTGTCACACAGGTGTTGTTGAGGAGCTTAAAAAAGGATAATGTTTTTTTATAGATGTTTACCACGGAAAGCAGCCTGTTAGATTCAGTATACACTGATAGTAACGTTTAATATTGCAGATGAAATGACATATGTGAATCTCCAGCTGAACCCTGAGCGGTACACTGGCTATTCCGGCCCATCAGCTAGAAGGATATGGGATGCAGTTTACAATGAGAACTGTCCCAAATGTAACTTTGCTGCTGTAGATCTTTTCTTGTTTTCTTGATTCCTTTCTCGCTGGCTCGGCAGAATAATTTTTTAGGTTTCTCCAGAGGTCTGATCAATTCAGATGAAGGCTTAACCCCTGTATTATACTGCGCTAATGATTTTTTCATTTGACAAGCAGATGCATCTGAAGAGTCATGCCAAGAGGAGAAAATATTGTACAAATTGATCTCTGGTCTTCATTCATCTATCTCAGTTCATATAGCTTCGGATTATCTGCTCGATGAAAATACATACTCAGTAAGATCTACCGTGTTTATACCTCTTATTTCTTATCTGCGAGATATGTTTCACAGTAATCTAATTGACTCTCTTTCCGTTTCAGTGGGGTCAAAATCTAACCTTGCTGTATGACCGTGTATTGAAATACCCAGATCGTGTTCGGAATCTGTATTTCACATTTTTGTTTGTTCTCAGAGCTGTGACAAAGGTGGGGATACCAATCTGTTTTTTCTTTGTATCTGAGGATGGCAATGATAATCGCATTTATTTTCCTTCACCACTTTGAAAATCTCTAGGCAGCAGATTACTTGGAAGAGGCTGAATACGAAACCAGTAACCCTATTGAAGACCTGAAGACAAAATCCCTGATGAAACAGCTTGTCGGTCATCCAGAAGTTAAAGCCGCTTGTCCAGTGCCATTTGATGAAGCTAAGTTGTGGAAGGGCCAACGTGGACCAGAACTGAAACAACAGTTACAAAAACAATTTAGAAACATAAGGTACTACTGCTCGATAGCTTCCTATAAATGGCTTCTGTTGCTCCATACCGACACACTTTTCCATGCACTTTCTTCTGCTATGCTAATAACCAGCGGTGTTTTGTTGGATCATTTTATCCTTAATGGATGTCACAGTGCAATAATGGACTGCATAGGCTGTGAGAAATGCCGTCTATGGGGGAAGCTCCAAATTCTCGGCCTTGGCACCGCGTTAAAAATCCTATTCAGTGTCAACTGTGAAAAAGATATACGCCATAACGTGAGTCTACTCATGGAGATCCTACCGGAAACATAGTGTTCAATTGGTTTTTTCTAACAATGGGTTATATGAATCATATATGCACATCTAGTTATAGTATAATCTGTTTGCTCGGTCCGTTATCTCAGCTGGAGTTGCAGAGGAACGAGGTGATTGCCCTCATGAATCTACTAAACCGATTGTCAGAATCCGTAAAATTTGTACATGAAATGAGCCCGCTGGCCGAGAGTATGGGCGAAGGGGAAGCTTCTGCAAGAAACAGCATTTGGAAGAGAGTGTTGACATCTTTAACTAACACAAAAGGTACGCTACACTTGGGGAGATGGTCTCGAAAGGCTTCTTCTTGTTCAGTTTATGTGGTAAGAAAGAGACCACCAAAGCAAGAAACTCATTTGTACTTTTTTGTTGAAATTTCAGCTCTTGCAAGGGGGGGGGGGGAAGACTAGTTAAAAGCTGTTGTACGGAACTTCAGGTTCATGGATAAAAGCAGGAGGGAAGATAATAACCACAGTGTTTGTAAAGGGAGAGTTCGAGATTATAGCATGATACCAGTTTTGCTAATCCATTTGTAAACAGCATTAGCTATTTTTTTTTTCCTTTTAGTGTAAAGAAGCTAAAATGTCACCATGGGACAATTTTCAAATTCACCAGAATTTTACTAGAAAATATTTGCCATCAATGATTACGAAAATGTGGGTTAAAGAAATCGGTTCTTTAAAATTTTTTTGGAGTATCGGATACATTAATTTCAAACAAATTCATACAACGATGAGAAAATATAAATTAAAATTTTTTTCCTCCGCTTTTGAAAAAAATTAGAGCGAGCCACAAAAAGGCGATGACGTCACATTAGGAAAAGCGAGCCTCGGAGTAGATGTCTATCGTGTTGGTGAGAACAACCTGTCTATGTTACTGTAATCTTTTTCATCCTGTTCTTGTTCACCGATTCCGTTTTCTGTTCTTCTACTCGCGAATCTTTAAGCTCTCTTTGGTTTGGATTCGATTCGTCAATGTGGCTGCTCATACGCGGATCGGAATTGTTGCGATCGTCGCGGTATGATTCTCTGTATTTTCTGTTTGATTGCAGAGAAAGTCTCATGATTCGGTTCGATAGCTTGGACTTCTGTGTTGAAAATGCGCTTTTTTCCCTTTCGGCGTATAAGATAGGTGAAGGTAACAATTGGGGGAAATGATGGATATGGATGGATCGAGCTCTTCTTCGAATCCTGGTCCCCATCAGCCTGCCTTGCGTTCAAGGCGATCGAAAGGTGAAACTCTCTTTCTCTGCTTCTGTAACTCTTGGGATCCTCTACATGAACTGAAAATTTGGAGGATTTCCAAACAAAAAAATTATGATCACTGCAAGCAGCTAAAGTAGCCGGTTTCTGTCCGAATTGGAAATTAAACGGTTCTGGTGGGTTGGATTTGTCCATGTTTTGAGAGACTTGGAGCTGGGTTCTGATACCATACACCTTTCCGTGCGGATTGAGTGATTTGAGAAGGTTAGACTAGAGTTGGCATTACTGTCGAAATGAAGAACAATCCGGTCAGATTGGGCGGATGTTATTATGTCGAAATGAAGAACAATGATGGTCAAAATTTTCAATTTTGCATCAATTTTCCGTACTGGTATACAGGTTTGTAGTATATTATAGATCATGTTAATATTTGAATCCATAGGAGACATCGAAATCATAGTTTGTTTATTTGGCAGCTCTGTATCAGTTTAAGCAACAGAGACTCCCTGTTTGTAAGCCTGTCCTCACTCCAGTATCGGTAATAACACAAATCCAAAAGTGAGATAGGTTCTTCCGAGATAATCAATACCTATTCATGCCTGAAATTGCATCCATTTCTGCAGGTTATGGCTACTTTTCTGGTAATGGGCTTTGTTTTCATTCCCGTCGGCCTCATCACTCTCCATGGATCTCGTAATGTACATTCCCTTAGCTGAAGCTCCAATCATTAGAAGGCAGTATTTGCTTTTGAGCCGTATCATTCTTTTTTTTAGCTATAACCTATTAACCTCGCAGAGCTACCTTTAAACTATTCATTGGCAGGCTGTTGAAATTGTAGACCGGTATGATGCTGAGTGTGTTCCTGAAGAATTCCGAGGAAACAAGCTGTCATATATTACCGATAAAACAGTTTCAAAGAATTGTACACGTTACTTGAAGGTAATGCCCAAATTGACAGACTTTTTTCATAATACTGCATTCTTGCGTCCCTCTTGGGAAGGAAGGTTTGACACGAACCTGCCAACCTTTTTGGTTTTATGGCAAATCATTTTAATCACATACCATTTGAAACTTCCCATGGTACATATTGACTGCCTACCACTGGGAATCCTTCAGTTCTTGATGCACAATTCGTTGTTGTAGGTGCAAAAGCATATGAAGGCTCCAATTTATATCTACTACCAGCTTGATAACTACTACCAAAATCACCGGCGGTAAGTAGTTGGATCCCTTGTTTCTAATACTTATCCTCACCACTGATTAAAAATGCTCTTCATTTTAAGCCCATGATTTTTCAGATACGTAAAGAGTAGAAGTGATCAGCAACTGTTACATGGATTGAAGTATAGCCGCACAAGTTCTTGTGAACCTGAAGAGTTTGATAATGGTCTCCCTATTGTCCCTTGTGGGTTGATAGCTTGGAGTCTGTTCAATGATACATTCACATTTTTTCGGGAAAGAACCAAAGTGAGGGTCAGCCGGAAAAACATTGCATGGAAGAGTGACCGCGACCACAAGTTTGGAAAGAATGTATATCCTTACAATTTTCAGAATGGAACTTTGGTTGGTGGCTCAGAGTTGGATCCAAGAATTCCAGTATGCACTCTAACCTGAAGTCATCACGTCTTTGCCATGATTATTTGCTATAAAAGGTGATCTATTTTGTAAATTCTAAGATTCTACGATGTTGTTAACTTCCCAGTTAAGCGAGGAAGAGGACCTTATCGTGTGGATGCGGACAGCTGCTTTACCGAGCTTCCGGAAATTATACGGAAGAATCGAAGAGGACTTGGAGCAAGGTGATGTTGTCGTGGTGAATTTGATGAACAACTACAATACTTACAGCTTTGGTGGGATGAAGAAACTTGTTCTCTCCACGTCAAGTTGGTTGGGAGGAAGAAACGACTTTCTCGGTATCGCCTATCTCGTTGTTGGTTCTTCTTCTATTATCATATCCATCATCTTCATGTTGCTTCACATGAAAAACCCTAGGTAAGAACAGTCACAGAGAAATCTTTTTTTTTCAGCGGCTTTGTAGTTCAAACTAATTTAATAACTAAGCGCCATTCTTTTATCTCAGGCCTTATGGGGACAATTCTTGGAACAAGAAAAGCATTTCCGGTTGAAAGCTGTTACATTTCTTCCTCAGTGGAATTGGTTCACAGGTTCTTATCTATTCTTACTGCATTCTGAGTTGTACTTTATGTAGTATTTGTCTAAATATGCGACTAGATAGAGATAGGCACTCTCTTCCTATAAACATGTAGGGAATATATATATAATCGATATACGAGCAAGATCATAGGTTTTCCGCATGTAACAGAACCACATGTGTTTTTGTCTTCTAAAGATTATACAATATAGGTACCATTTGCCCCCTTTGGTAACACCCACGAAATACCTACATTAAGACGGGTTTATTTTGTTATATCTATCTTTATCCCCTCTATATTTAGCAATATAGCCAAAAAAATTCACAGTTTGCATCCTTGGCATTATGCAAATCGTTCGTTTTTTTCTGTCTTTCCTCGAAATTTTCTCGTCTGTCTCTCCTTTTCCATGTTTATAACCTTGTGCATTTTCAGTCTCTCTATTTAAGCTCTCCATTTCTACTACACCCATAACCCGAAAACCGATTTCATATGCACCTCTAGTGTCCTTTGGACGATCTCTCCCATTCATCATCGGTCCCCCGAAGAAACCCTAAATCTAAAAATGGTGAAGGAAATGAGGTTTGTTCAAACATGGGGGGAGGTAGCCCCATCGCTTCTAGTATCCCACCAGAAGAATTTCTCGAGCTTGCCAAAGCTGGAGACTATTATCGAAGAAGGATGCGACAGTTTTGCTGTTGGGGCACCTAAGCGCATAGTCATATTTCTTCCTCTTGTGCTCTCAATGTTCTTTTACTTGGTCTTGTACAAGAATATCATAGGTTCTTGACTGGTTCTTTTTTTTAGTGGTTTTGTCATGAGCGGGAGATCTGATAATATGTTGTTTTCTAGGGGAAGTTTATGGCAATCTCTGCATGTTTCTTTTAAGGTTGAATAGAGTTTGGAACTTGAAAATTCTAGTTTTTTGTTTCCCTGATTTAAGAGGGCATCTTTCAGATTTTGTATCTGATAATCACATGAACAGATCAGATGAATTGGAGGAAAAAAAGCTCTTCTGCTGTATTATATTATCATAATAAACTCAGGGTAATCGAACAAGAAGTTCTTGTCCGTACAACAAAACACAGGATACGGCGGAGATGATCGCCGGAAAAAGGAAAAGAAGACGCCGGCCAACGTCTTCTTGAAGATCCTCGCACCTTTCTTCGATTATGGTTTCTAGTGTCGGAGTAACAGAACTTTTCCGGCGAGAAACCACCGGCTCCGGGGCCACCTCCGCTTTTTCCGACCTCCTCCCTTCTCTAACCATGATTCCCTCCCTCCTTTTTTTTCTTTCAAGTTCTCGACTCCTTTAAAATGTCACGAATTATTACGAATCCTTTTTTTTCCGTTAGTGATAAATTCCAGAGTTCGATTCTCGGTGTATATATAGGCGGAAGATAGGTGATTGGCAGCCGAGAAAATAAGCACTTGATGCACGCATAGGCGCGAAGAAACCGACACGTACAAGGTTTAGTTCGCGAAAGATCTGTTAACGGTTGTTTTTTCTCGGAATGGGCAGTGGTCCGAAAGCCTTCAATTAATAATTGGAAAAGAACATCCATTTTGTATTATCCTCGTTCGTACATTTGACAGAAACCGTTTGAGTACACGGCTATTTATGAATTAATTACGTAATATATATATATATATATACACCCTAAGATATTTTTAGTTAACATCAATCTGAAACAATATTCCGTATATTTTCTCCATTTTTTTCTACATGTACACGTGTCCATGTACTTCTTTCCTTGTGGCGTTGACGTCTACAAGTCATGCTTGGTTGGTTGCGTTTACGTAGACGAAACGGAAAGGGCAAACAGACGGTCCATATTTACATTGGAAACAATTAATGGAAGCATGAAATATCTTTCATGTTTTGTCGGTTGTAACATGGAATTATCTTCATGTTACAATCGTGAATCATACAAAAATACAAATATAACCGATGCCAAAATGTCGGACGATACATTTCAATCTCCACAAGAACAGGACCCAGGCGTCTTTTGACGCGATCAAACCTATATTGATTATCTCAACGATAATTTCCCGACAAAACAAATCTCAGACACAAACCTTATGCCCATAGATTTGTTCCTCCGTTGTATTCTCTCTCTATGCAGCCTCCTTTCTGAATGAAACCAAAATGATAAACCGCAACATTGTTATCAATTGATCGATTCATGTCTTTTTCCCGATGAAAAAGAAAAAAAGGAAAAAAAAAAGATATCATGAACTTGCATGATTGATGATACATTGATAGCACTGAATACTTTCAGAAGACAGAAAAAATAATATGATGATTCAGTTGAGGAGTAGACGGAACTGACCCTTTTCCCCCGCAATGGCTATGCTTGTTCCTATACCTGTTTGAGTAGAAATCTTGTGTCCGAACACTATGATGGAGAAACCGATCACGAGAACTCGTTTCAGAACGTTCCCGACGACATGAGTCAGCCGGTGCAACCCTCTCCAAGGTGGGTTGCCAGCTGCAAAAGATTTCTATATACAAGTTTCGGCCAACAATGTTCGATATTACTCACATTTTGGAAGGATGGGGCATGAGATATACCTGGTTGTAGAGATGGTAAAACATTCCAACCCAAAAGAGATCAGAGATGAAAGAACTCGCTGTGTTCAACAAGTATAGTTCGAAATGTTTTAGCATTACTTACAATGATGGTTGGAGGAAGGCAGACAAAGAGGGCGATGATGGAGATGTAAGCGCACAGGTTCGTACTGTCCATGTCAGTCGGAACTCAGGAAATAGAACAGTAAAGAAGCATATAGCATCAAGAAAACATCAGACATTTCATGCTTTTCATAGAAAAAAACATCTAAAACATTTGTCTAAATTGGAACAAGGGGAAATCACCATGGCTTTCTTGGAGTAGATGCTTCTGTAAGGAAAGAGATGTTGCAAATCATCGCACTGATGACACCAATCCAGTTGAATGACAGCTTGGTAAGCAAAGCCATGGAAACACCTCTGCCTTTTTGTGTTTTAAACCAAACTCAAATCTTCATTCCTGTTGTGGACCAAAACACCGACAACGAAAACATAAAGGACGAATATTCAGGCACCGATGATGACAGGAGCCAGAGAAAGCCACAACGTGATAGGGCTAGACTGTCCAAGTATAAACTGTGAAGCGGCAGCGTTGAAGGACGGCTCGAGAGCTGCATATTAGAAGAACAAACTCTGAAATCAGAAGAGTCGGTCCATGAAACTTATACATTACCATTTGTCTCGAGAGATGGAATTTGCCTTTGACGGTGTGAGTGAAGGAGACAGCAACAGCAGCGAAAGAGACGTTACTGGTTACATGGCCGATGGCGTGACACACTGCGACGGGTATCAGGACCTTCAGGAGGTTCGAATTGATAGGCTAAAAGCAGATACATTAGTAATCAGTCAGAAGTTCATATCATTTTAGAGTAGAAGTTATACTAAAAACAAGATAATACTGTACATTATACATAAACCTCTGTTCTGATACGAGTATTTGGTCAAAAGTTATGAAAAAGAATGATTCAAAAGAAATGGGATTTGAAGGGAGGAACTTACTGCCCATTTGGGAAGACCCACTGACCAGCTCACCAAGCAGTACACCGCTCCAACGAACAAGGATCAATCTTTATAGAGATTATGTTTAGTTCGATTAAGCGCAGAGTCGACGAAGATGGTATGATGATGACGATGATGCAGAGACGAAGTTAGTGTCACTCACTAGTCACTAGGGGTAGGTAAGGGAAGTAATTGTATATCTTCATGTTGAGGATGTTGAATATCACGTTCAAGAAGTGCCTGCAGAATCACAGCGGTAAAACTGTAATTTAGTTCCCCAGACCTTCCCTCTGATTGCGGACTTTTGGCGGTAAAACGAGTGAACAGTAACGGTTCTTTGAAATGGTCAGGAATCAGGACCTAGTGCTATCGTGCGCCTTCCCTGCGCAGGCTAAGGAAGCGCGTGATTGGCACGTACCACATGAAGAAGAAGGCACCCGTGACGAGCGCCGGATACTTGTCAGTGAATCCGGTCTTCGCCTCCCTGCAAGTAAATGATACACCCGGACGGACGATTCAGAGACCGAGTCACCAAAAAACTCTCTCCACAGAGCAGGTCGGAGGAGACGGACCTTACCCGGCGGAATCTCCTGCCTCAGAGTCCGCTCGCGGCGCCCCGAGAATCTCCCTCTTCCCACCGACGGGAATTCCGCCGCAGAGGAGCTCTCGAGAAGCAGAACTAGGCGGATCTGGCGGCCGGAGATCACATTGCCGCTGTCGACGACGGACAACGGGAAAGACACGTTGGTGGCCAAATGATGGTTGCGAGAGCGGTAGATCCGTCTAAGGAACGGAGAGCCGGCGACAGTAACGATGGCGCGTTGACAGCACGCGTGACTCCATGGCGCGGCGGTGGTGATGATGATGATTCCGCAAAATATCTGAAAGCGAGAGGAAAGCGAAATTACGCAGTTTTCTCACGTATTCCAACTTCCAAGAGAAGCTATTGTGTTGGTAACACGAGCCGTGATCTCATGTGTCGCAGTTCATATAGTAGAACATTGTAGACCGTTAGATGGAGATGAGCCGTGATCGGCGGTGAATATTGCTGTGCCTGTGCCTGTATAAGATTATGGGCTCGGGCCCGATGACTGTGGGGCCCATCTAAACCTGGATTCCAATCAAGTCATCATCCCTTAAAATTTTCAATAAATTTATTAATTTTGAATGGTTATAAATATATAATTGACTTATTTTCCTGAACTGAAAGTTCTGGATTGACAATATTTTTTTACCGGTTTATGAACAAAATACCAACCCTATATTTTTCTATCAGAAAGATTTAGCCAATAATTTTTATAATCTTATATATATGTGTGGTTCATAAATATTAGATTTTTTATTTTAGTTATTAACTATATAATCTATTATGTTTTATTAAATAATTTATCATTATTTACATTGACTTTTACATTGAAATTACGCTATTAATGGTCTTCATGTGATTTTAAGTTTTTTAAGTTCATGATATTAATGATGCATATGTGAAATCCAATTTCACTTTCTTTTTTGTTGTACATATCATATTCGTTTTTGTTTTTGTCATATATTTCATGTACAAATTTAACTATATATTATGATGATTTATGGTATGCCAACAAAGTTATGGACGAAGTTTGCAGAAGCGGCTTTTATATATTTAACTAGTAAATAGTACTATTACCCTTTACGTGGAAGTGCATGGATACTATTATGATACCCATAATATAGTTTGTTAAAAAAAACGTAATGGAAGCGAAATGTCGGGTTATCATATTCATATTAGAAGTATATATTATATACAGGTCAGCTCAATAATTCAAACAATAAAAGTGTAGGGGATTGCGTCCAAGAAATAAAATAAACAGCTAATATTAAGATTTTTTTTTTTGTTAATGCATGCGTTGTCGTGAATAATTAAAAGACTAAGACGTGCCGGAACATGCTCCGTACGCTTCCCATGTGTCAATGCATCAAGATCATATGTTAAACAAACGTATACTTAACATGATCATGCATGCTAATCTTTCCAATTTGATCGTGTTCTTGGGTTACATTAAACAAGAACACAATGGGTTTTCACGTTAAAAACATAAAAATGAAACTTTTGTTTTGGTTTGACTCAAAATGGTAACAGACGAAAATATTATTATTTGGTATTATAATTATTTATGATACTGTTCAACCGTAAGTCAACGGTTCATGGAACACTCCGCCCATCCTCTTCACCATCTGCTCCGCCGCAAATGTCTGGTGATGAAGCGGCTGAGCCACCGAGTTCGAGTCGAGATAATGCAAGATCACGACCATCATGACCGAGTTGACCAGCATCGGAATCGGTCCGAACAACCAAATCAACAGATCGAGAGCCAGATACAGAGCCCTGAGTCCGACCGACCAGAAGTTCCCGCCTCTCACGACGGCTCTCTTCACCATCTCCGCCGGAATATCGCCGCCGGGCGTGGTGAGGAGGTAGTTCGCATGCAAAAACTGCCTCGTGGACTGGACGAAACAAGCGAAGGCCGCAAGGAAACAGGCCAGGAGGGCTGTGTACTTGATGATCATCGTCGTGGGGCTTGTGTCACCGTATATGAATTTTCCGGTGAAGATTGTCGTCGATGACGGCGAGCTTCCGATCCACGCGCCGATCAGAGAGCTCAGGGATAATGAGACTGATGCCAGGAAGGTTGATACTGAGATACTGCTCGATAATACCGTTAGGGCATTGCCCAGTTCGTCCTTTCTTGCCTGTTTTTAGCCATGTGTACATATTTTTCAGAATCTAGAATGAGCTCGACGTGAAAGTTCTAACAGAGCTAAAAACCTATGAACTCAAGAAACATGCATGTGTTCTAACACACACACACACACAAAAAAAAAACAGTTCTGATTGATTATAACAAAAAGATGAGAGAGAAAAAGAGAGGAGAGAGAGAGAGAGGAGTGTTTCTTGCCTGCATGATTCGGTCGACCCAAATGGACTTGTCGATGTTCATGAAACCGATGACTGTCGTGTAAGGAAAATAGAGGACTCTATAAAGAAGAATGAGATGGTACGACAACACCGTCGTCAACCCTAATGGCACCAAAACCATATCCAAATACTCCTTGTCGAACATCATCTTCCTCTCCCTCTCTCTCTCTCTCTCTCTCTTCTTCTTTCTACTTCTGTAGAAATTAATGCAGCTTTTTTCATATATGAATACACATGTTTATGTGATTTATAATAAAATATATAATGAAAAGATACGGATAGTGGGAGTTATTTATAGGTTTTGTATGCTTTCTTTTTTTGGCGTATAAGATACAAATATGATAGAAAATGAAGTTGATCAGGATTCTTGTGCGTCTGGAATATCCCTTCCCACAAGGTTATATAATCGTTTGACTTTCGCCTTCTTTCATGTGAGCTATCGCAAAACGACATTATTATATATTTCTTTACATCTCATATGGGACCCTTTTGTGTATGGCATTACATATATATATATATCCCAGTCGTGGTTCTGAATCTGGAAGAACTCATAGTGACTGTTAGGGCAAATGCCTAAGAAACTGGAAAGCAATGCCTAATATCACTAATACGATATATACAGGCTTTGATCATTACACCGTATATTTCACCAACAAAACCATATATATACGAACATGTCCTTATAAGATTAGAACACAGATTACAAGCTACATCACAAGATCATAGCTAGGTGGAAGTCATGCTTTTACCATAATAAGCACACCAGCAGATCTATCTAAGGTTTACTTATTACACCATTTTCCATTAAAAAAAAGAAAGAAATGGCGAGCCACTCTACCACCCTAAAACCAAGGCTTTTAATAGCTGTACTTCCTCTTGACAGACACGTGATCTCCCTCTTCCTCTTCCTCTTCTTCTTCTTCTTGCTCGACTTCGTCCTCAATGGCGTTGACCCTCTCACATTCATCGATCCATTCGCTGTATCTGCAAACGGTAATTTCGAAAGGAAGAAGAAGTCAATGGTCTGAAACAAAGAGAGACAAAAACACATGGGAAGAGACGGGAGGCGGCGGATCAGGCTTACATGTCTATTGGTTCAGTCAGAGCTGCGAGAAACGAAAAAAGAAAGGATCATGAAAGATATACCCATGAAATTAGCCCATGTCATAAGCTTGAACGGTCCGCAGGAATACCTGTGACAGTAGTGCTAAAGCTTTCTTGGCAGATTCTACACGAAGCTTCACCGATCAAGTTCTTCATATCACTGTAAACAAAGGAGAATTCCGATACCGATAACGGGCAAGCCAAATACACGACGTGTAATACCTTCGCAAACTCGATAATGCTAATGTCCTAAAGACAGAATGTTCATCACTGTCTTGACTTACATCCGGCATTCGACACTAGTTCCATGGTTGCAGAAGGGACAGCTGAATACTGTGTCAAGCTTGTCCATTCGCTTCTTTGGAGCAGGCTTTGCCCTTGACTTCCTCTTCCCCATGGTTTAAGCTCTTCCCCTATACACATGAACGGTTCACATATCAAGAAAGCGATACAGGGCAACGAACATAGAAAACATCGTCAGGCTAAAAAAAATGCACGTCATTACTCTCACCAACCCAACGCCATTACTACTTCATATCGCTCAAGAACTGGATAATTCGAAACCCAATTGAGAATTTCCGAAGGCGATAACCGACAAGACAACGGATATCGATTACCCAACGCAAAAGAAATCGGAAAACACTTCACTCAATAACTGCTATCCTACGAGATTTAAAGTGAAAAACTTTCAAATAATCTCCAAATTTAACAGGATTTAAAAAAGGATTCTTGTTCATAAGATTAGAAAGAACCTGCAATTGGAGATCGATGCCTCTTGGAGGAGTCTTGGAAAAACCCTAAACTGTATCGAAGAGGTCAATTTTGGAGAAGAAGCGCAAAAATTAATTACTCCGCAGCTATTGCTATTTCCATTCCGACCGTGATATTTCCCAGCCAAGGGCGGCGCCTGGTACGACGTCGTTAAACCACCTACCAAATCTACGTTCAATCAAATATATATATAACTACGTGTCGTCTGTCTCCAAATGATATAGACTACATAACGTTTCTATCAAACTGCAGCAAAACGAACTGACGGCTGTCGATAATTTTATAATCCACGTGTCAAAATCTTAAAGAGTTGTGTTCCATCTTTCAGTATACTGTCCCACAGGCTAATAATGACGACAACCACGCGCAAACGGAGAATCCGAAAAGTCCAACGGGGGTGCTAGGGTTTTTTTCGTCTTCGAACGAGATACCCCCACTAATTAAACGATTCTCAACTTTTTTCTCTCGAATCGATTCGAGATCAGACATCAAAATCACGAATTGTCCTCTATTGTTGCTTCGATTTGGTTTTTGAACGATGGGGAGAGGCAAATTCAAGGGAAAACCCACCGGCCAACGCCACTTCTCTCATCCAGATGATTTACGTAAGTGTTTTTCTTTTGATTTCTGATCGTATTATAGCTGTATCACGATCGCGAATCCCGTTACATAGGAAAAAGGAGTTTTGCGTTTGTTTTGTTCATGCATGTGGGTGCGAATTTCATGGAAAATTTACCATCTTGAATATGTGTGAAAACATTCTGGTTTCTGGGTCTCTTTTTTTTCCTGCATATCTATATGATTTCGGTATAGGTTTGTCGTCGAAGAGCTTTAGGCCGGAGAGTTCGAATTCAGTTTGGTAATTGTCACTCTGTTCCGGTTTGATGAATAGATTTGGTTGTGATGCTTTTAGAGAGCTTGGAGCTTTGATGTTTATTCTAGTGAAGGAAAGCTGTTATGGGCTCCCACATGTTTGCTTGATCTGTGGGCTCTCTTGTCATCTTTACTGTCTGTTTAGCTGTATTGATGGATTTAGCTGAATTTGATGAACTGAATATTATGCTTCTATCAAGCTCTGCTCCACCGCAGGATCTCCTTTGCTTGTGCCTTTGAGATATATCTGTATTTGAGCTGATTTTATCTTCTGGCCTTTGTAATTGTTCTTTTATCTTCAGTACTTTACTGTCCGCGTTTCTTGAGTTCTGAGACACCCTTCTCGTCTCTGTTGTGTTCCGAATGAACCTTGGTTGATTTTTTCCATCACTATTGGAGCTGGGTAGAATCATATTTTGATTTATTCAATGTATACGCAGGTGCTGGCACCTCTTCAGCACGTCCTCGATCATTCAAACGGGTAATCTCGTCGTCCTTGTCTCTTCATTTTTGCAGTTTGTGTGTGATATCCTCGATCTGATGGTTTGGAAATCAGGACTCATTAGCCTTTGACTGCATGCATTTTCAGGAAGAAGCTGAGTATGAACGTGAGAAAGAAGAAGATGAGGAGGTGGAGGAGGAATCTGGGGAAGAATCCGATGGCGAAGTTAGTTAAACCATTTTCTTCATCTAAGAATTTGGCTTCTTCGAGGCACAGACCTGTTTCATAGAAATTACATCTAACCTTGATATATTGCCAGGAGAAGAAGAAGAAAGGAAACGAGAGTCTAATTGAAGTTGAAAACCCTAATAGAGCAAAACCAAAGACCTTAAAAGCCAGAGACCTCGATGTAAGCTATTTATCCTGTCATTTTCTTTTTATCTGCTGATATTTATCTCACCGTTATCATGTATTGACCTATCTTTTTCTTCTTCCCGTGCCCAGGTCGGTAAAACCACTGAACTTTCAAGGCGAGAGAGGTATGTTTTTGCTACTGATCTCTAAACAGTATCATTTTACTCTCTCTCTCTCTTTTCACTGTTTTACCACAAGAGATATGTTATCCATCCATTTTGATCTTGCTTTTCTTTTTTACAGAGAGGAGCTGGAGAAGCAGCGAGCTCATGAACGATACATGAGGCTGCAAGAGCAGGGAAAAACTGAACAAGCAAGAAAAGATTTGGGTAAAGAATAATCTTGTCTCCTTCATGTCCATGCTCAGCGTTTTCGTGGATTTTCCCATCTGGGCATTGATTATTGAATCGGGTGTGCAGATCGTTTGGCTTTAATACGTCAACAAAGAGAAGAAGCTGCTAAAAAGCGAGAGGAGGAGAAAGCCGGTACGATTTATATCCTAAAACACCCTTTTGAATCCGATCTTGATCTTTCTTTTTAGGTGCAATTACTAATGCTCTTCAATTTGAATGTATTGTGTTTCTTCCAGCTAGAGAAGCAAAGAAAACAGAAGCTCGCAAATGATGATCCTAAAAAAAACCTCTTTTATAGTAAAAAAAGAAGATTCCTCTGGTTTTATTCAAGTAAACATAAACTGTTCTTATTTACCTCTTGCCCCATTGATGAAAGAAAGAAGCTGTGGTTATAACTACAGAACTTTGGGCACCTACCTATCTCAGACTTTAGGCTCTTCAAGACATGACTGTGATAGTTTCCTCTGTTTTTATTCATGCCCGTCTCATTCTTCCTCGAGTAACTTAAACTCATATGATCTATGATCTTGTCCCGTACCATGTTTGGCTTCTGTTCTGTATTGTTTCTATGGCTTTTTTGGGTGCCTCGATGTTTTTGTTTGCATTCTGTTGTTTGGGTTCGGATTTAATCGAGTCCCTTCCATGGACAAGGCTGTCATAACCAAAGGGTATGTCTACAAATTCGTTTTTGTGGTGTAAAATCAACCAGACTGTGGTCGAGTGGTACTTGGACTGGAAGTGAGGGTGTTCCTCCTCCAGGTCAGGGGTTCGAATCCAGACATGCGGGGAGGGAGAGGCATAGCCAAAGGTTGTGTGTTCAAAGGCTGTTTTCGGGCCCACGGAGATGTAGGTTAGGTCGAAGGCCCAGGTGAACTTCATGGTTTGACAAAAAAAAAAATCAACCAGACGAAAGGTCGGTGGGCTGCTGCTTAGGTATCATGGCCTTGATCATGTCCAAAATTCAACTAAATCTAAATAACAAATGAAGGGTTCCACAAAGATAGCCCTGAAAACTTAAAATTTAATAAAATATATATTGGTATTTCATGGGGGGAAATTGATCTTCATTATGTCTATTGTATAGAGGATTTTTTTTTATAAAAAAAAAAACACAAATGTATGAGAGTATCAAAAGGTTTGACATAGGGATGTTCGTCGTCTTGCATTAAAGACCAAAAAAAGGGGGACAATGCTTTAGAGGAAAAGGCATGATTTTGACCTCTTGGTGGTTGCCAATGGCAATGCCTTCTTCTTTGCCTTTGGTGGACTCAAAGCCACTCTTATTGCTGTATCAAACACTGTCTTCACATTCTATATTAAAGATATAAAAAAAATATACAAACATAAGAAACATTTCAAAAAAAGTATAATAAAAAAACATACAAGTTTTTTTCTATATAAGAGTGCAAGGAAAAATTCCAAAAGATTTCCATGATGTTTTCTAATATTCAGATTTAATTTTGTTTTTATATTTCAAATATTTGTATTGGACAACTATAAATATTATAATTTTACACTACAAATGATAGATATATTCTATTCATATCCGCAACATCACATTAAGAGAAAATGATTTATATACATATTTACTGTGAAGTTGTTTTGGAAGTAAAATGTCAGTACCTGTTGGGTCTTGGAGCTGCACTCTATGTACCTAACAGCTCCAATTAGCTTCCTTAATTCCTCTCCCTATTACACAATTCACAATTTATTTTGGAATATTATTTCTCATATTATTAAATTATATCTATGCTTAGAAATTAATTAAAAAAAAATTGTTTGTTTCATATGATTCAGGAATACCTGGGCAGTTGTTATAGCTGTGGACCCTGGACGATCCTTCAAGAACTCTTCGTCTTCCCTCAAATCTGAATGCATATTTATTTAATCAAATGACATTTATTTATACTCAATTAATATTATAATTAGTAAATTATAATTAGTTCACCTAGTTTGGTTCCAACGAGCACGACCGGGACGTTGGGCGCGTAATGTTTGAGCTCCGGGATCCACTGTTAGCGATGTGACAAAAATAATATTGAATTTCTGATTAGGACATTATTATTATTAAAAAAAAAAACAAGTGATTAGGGGAAAGACCTTCTTGTAAATATTCTCGTAACTGGCCTTGCTGATAAGGGAAAAGGCCAACAAGAACACGTCAGCCCCTCTGTAGCTCAGGGGCCTTAGCCTGTTATAGTCCTCTTGCCCTGTTTTTCATTTCATTAATTAATTAAAAAAAAGTTATTACAATTAACATAAATATACCATAAACGCACTTTACGAATGTATGTATGTATGTATGTATATATATATATATATAAGAATATCGTACCGGCGGTATCCCAGAGGCCGAGATTCACGGTGCTGCCGTCGACCACCACGTTGGCACTGAAGTTGTCGAAAACCGTCGGAACATAATCCTGTAACATTCTTACTGATATTCAATCTTAATTCTTGGTTCACTCGAGGAACGAACCGGTATGCCAAGATCATCTCTAGTCATACCGATTTCAGTTAAACTTTTTCCATACCGGAATTTAAACCAAACTAAACCGGGATACATCATTCACGGCATAACATATGAATTCGGTACCGTACGTAGCGTTACAATTAAAAAAAAAACGTGAAGACATACCGTCGGGAAAATATTGCTTGTATAGGAGATGAGCATACAAGTCTTTCCGACAGCTCCATCTCCGACAGTGACACACTTTATGAATCTTGCTGTGCTCATTTTTTTTTTAAATAATCACTTATTTTCCTCCCTTTTTTTGTTTTTTTTTTGGGTAAATCTCTATTTGCAGAAGAGGAGAAGAAAAGGGGTGTTGGTGTTACAAAGGAAGAGAAGTGAAAGGGCTTTTAAGAAGCTTAAGATGACTATGATACGTAATACGTATGGTGGTTGTTTTTTTTTTTTTTGGTAACGACGTATGGTGGTTGTTATTATTGCTTATAGGTATAAGACTATGATTATTCTCAATTATTACTATTTATATTGTTGATTTTTGGGATTAGGGTTTTAATCAGTTGATAATAATAATTATAATTATTTGAAATGGAGATTTGGTGTGAAGTGTGTTTGGTTTTGGTCGTTAGTGGATTTTGAATTGTCGGAGAAGGAAAGTTCCATCTTCTTGCCCCTTTCAACACCATATATATATATATATACATATACACACATTTCTCTGTTTGCTCCGCATTTATCAATTAAAATAATATATTAATCGCATGATTTTAGAACTTAATTCGGATTATCATATAATTAAGAAAACAGAGGTTTCACTCGCACGTTGTTTGTTGGCTTCTGTTCTTCTCCGGAGACAAATGTTCTTTTATTATTTTGTAGGAGTTTTTGTTATAAATTTTTATTTACGGGTACTTGAGCAAATATGCGCGTGACTATATATATATATATATAAAATACATGCAATATGTTAGGCGACGTATATGCTATGAATTAGTGGATTAGCCTAATTATGATAGCTTAATCTGTCGCTTATACGGCTAAGCGAGGTTTAGATGACGTCACACAGACTCATCCATTCACCGTCTTCATGATTATTTCAACAGCAGTTGGTACTTATAAATTGTAATGTTGTTCAGAAAATTACATAAACACTATCAACTCTGTTTATTTTAAAATTAGAAATAATAAGTTTAATATTTTATACGAATTATAGATAGACTAGCAAAAAATATTATATATTTCAAAATTCAACTATAAAAATTTCAAACACAACAGACATTTATGTTAACAATTGACTAATTTTTTCTATTATTTTTTCTTCTCTAAATTTCAGGGGAAATTACTAGGTTTCTCCTCTAGTAATCATATGCTTAAATCACTTCAAGAGCAAGTTGCCGTTTGAAGGAAGTTAGTTAGTTTGATGATCCGTAGAGTTTAAGCTTAGGAAAATTAAGATAATTAATCTTTTTTATATTATTATTATTATTATCCCTCACAAATTAACGTATTTAGATATATTTATCAACAGCCGGGTAGTGTTTGAAAGATCCTGCATCTGAACAATAGGATCCGAAAAAGGTATAAATGAAGTTATTAGAAACCCTTAAATCCAAGTAATCTTCGTAACGAAGATTAGGGAGCAAAAGAGAATAAAATTATTAAAATCATATTGAAAAATAATATATATCATATGCCACACGCGCGCTTTTAACATAGCTTAGAACGACAGAAAGGAATATTATTCATAAGAAAAATATTCAAAGATTACAATGGAGGCATTGCATTCGCGGTGAATGTACGTACTCCACATGCTTATACAATATATATATATATATAAGAGGAAAAAGATACATCAACTCAATAATTATATATATCAAGATTACAAAATGTATTTTCCCGAACAAATGATCAATTCAATGATTAGAAGCTTGATAGTGCTTTTTCGTTTTCTTGAATTAGAATGAATTCGAAACGGGGTTTCATTAAATCTCAGATTAGAAAATCTTCAGCAATGGTGGCAATGCCTTGTCGGACGATAATTTGGTACATCTTCTGCGTGGGATGAACCGCGTCCCAAAACACGTACTTGGAAGGGTCCGTACAAGCCTGCATGCCTTTGCATGTCACTCCATACTCGTACGTCCCTGTTCCGCAGCACCCTTTCGAAGTCTCTATCAAACCTGCAAAAAATAAATGAAGCTAATCAATTCAAAATTAAAATCAGGGTTTTTTGAATCTATAGGTATCTGTCACTGGTTAGTTTGTTCCCGAAATTCCACGTTTTGATATTCTTTTGACTCCATAATCATAAAGGGCTTTGAATCATTGATTGTATAAAGCCTGTCCTACCGCTACAATTAAATGAAATCGGGTTGAATGTTCGAAAACGGACCGTAGCTTTTGGGATTTGCGATGGCTTTGAGGATGGAAGAATAGGCGTCGATGTAGGCACTTTTGAGGCCGAATCTGGAACGTAAAGAAGAGAGGTTGTTCTTGATCTTGGAGTTGAAGGAGAAGGCCATCCGGTTAAGCTGCTCAACGCAATGGTCTTGGCTCCTTAGGGTTTTCATAAGAGGCATGCACCCCATTGGAGGAACCCCTACCACCACAATTCTTCTCGCTCCAAGCCTATGCAACATCTGCAATACATACATACGTACATACATACATATATATATATGTATGTGTTAATTTATAGTACATGTTTGTATATACAAACTATATATACATGTGTACTTTTAGTTGTAATGAAAGGACGCAAGAAAGTAAGTACATGTGGATAGGATTTGTTTGTGATCGTTTAAATGGACCGAGCATAAATTTATCATGTCGTTGTAGGTAGAGAAATATTAAAGGAAATTGAATTATGTCAACCACCCGATATTGGATTCGTATGGATTCTTTTCTCTCTGTTTGTGGGCCGCTTTTTTTTTAATCTAGAAGAATATATTCATAAATGCTTTTTAATTTATTAGGGGTTCATATACATATATATATATATATATATAATGGTGTATTTTGTAAGGCGTGAGTATACGTACCTTGGCGTCGTTGAACATGTGGGATGAGAGAAAATCGATGTATTGCGGGACAGAGAATTGCCTTTGCCGGACATCCTCCACGAAGTAGTTTTGGAGAAAGTCATTGGTTCCCATACTTAGCACGAATATCGCCTTGTTGATTATTTTTTGGCTCTCTAATGGACCGACCAATCTATTCAGATGAAGTTTGTAGTGCAAGAAGTACTTCACCTGGTCCGGAAAGCTGAACACATCCTGTTTTTATTTTTATTTTTTTTTATTTTTTACAGAATCAAACCGAATCACAAAGTAGAGATTTATCAAAACTGAAACTAAGAGTATACATAGAAAGCTTGTGATATATACAATTTACTTACGGAGAAATTAGCAGTGAGATCGTCGTAACCGGAACCAGCTGAGGCGAAACTAACGCCGTGAAGGAGATCGGTTGGGGTCAGGGTCCGGTCAAGAAAAGCCGGTACGGATGGATTCCCGATCAGTTCCGCTAAATTAAAATGGAAACACTATACCAAATTAATTGTGAAATATACGATATATCTTATATATAAAGATTGTCCTAATAAGTGAATCTTGTTCTAAGAGGAAAAATATAATCAAGTAGACCGTTCTTGTTTGTAACACGTACCGATGAAGTCGGTGGCGAGTTTTCCGTCAGATAACCGTCCGGTGGGTCGGCCGTGTTGGAAATTCTTGCCGTAGGGAGGAAAATTCCCCTTCATATCGGTCGGGAGGAAGTTATTATTGCCCGGATCGACGCTTGAATCTCCAAACACTAAGATGGAAGTCACGTTGTGTTTGGCGGCGAGTTGCCTGAGCTGATGAGCATCCAATGCAGAGGCCAAACCCTCCATCTCGAACAGAGTCACCAGGACCAGTAACACTACTGTTTTCATGTCCATATTCGAAATCTCTCTCCAAGGCCTTCTCGTTCTCCTTTCTCTTTGGATGAGAATGCAATGTTGTGTACGTACTTGACAGAGAAGTGGTTGTATATATACATATATATAGAGAGTTTGTGATTTTTGTAAGATAAGTGGAAATTGGTTAGAATTGCTTCTAGTTGTCGGTTGAAAACATTTAAAACACATATGTAAGCGGCAACAGAGAACTTCAATTGGGTTTCTTCAGTTAGGACAGCCATTATTAGGGTTTGCTTGACTGATGTGATATGTTCAATATCTTCCTATATATATATTCTTTTTTATAAACATATATTTCATATTTCTTTCACTTGTTGCCTGGGATACATACATACATTACATACATACATACATACATATATATGTAACTAACAATTAGGAAACACAAGAAGCATGGGAGTTGTATATAATTTATATATTAATCACGTAATTGAGCTATAATTTATTAATAAACCAAAAATACCAATAATATTAATGAAGGATGAGATGTGATTCATGTTTACAAAATTGTACAAAAACTGGATCTTGACTTAAAAGTAAACGACAATGGAGTTTCAAATTTTAGGTGAGCTAACTATGTAGAAACATAAAGCCACTAAACTTATGTGTGTTGTCTTTGCCGTAATTTTAGTTGAGGGTCTGTCTACGTGTACACACCATACACAACACACACATATACGTATAGTCCAATCCAATCATGCGGGCTCGGGGTACACACACATAATATATATATATATATATATATATATATATATATAATATTAAATTGAGTTTATAATTATATTGATTTCCCATGGTGTTTATCTAAATCACCGAGTTTAAGCGTTCGGTTTTTTCTATGAATGTAATATAAAATATTTGCTAATGTTTTATAGAATTTTCAGATATCTTATGCTTTTTTTGTGAAATAATATAAATCTATAATTTGTATGAGATGATATTTTGGGAGATTAAAAAAATCGGAATTTCTTTGTAAAAAAGGAACAATTTATGTTAAAATTAGATTTATGGGATTTTCAGATCTGGATCAGGTTGATGTTACACATGAGTTTATGTCCGAGATTTCGGACGTAGGCGTCACATCTAAACTAAATTTGAAAGAACAAACTTTTCGCAAATATAGTTTGGTCAATCCTAAAGATATTAATTCGTCGGTCCATATAATTATGTTAGCCAGTATTTTTAGAATTTCAGTATGTATTCTCAACATTTCAAAACGAAAAAGAAAACAAAACGTATCCATACATACACATATACATACATACATACATACATACATACATACATACATACATACATACATACATACATACATACATACATACATACATACATACATACATACATACATACATACATACATACATACATACATACATACATACATACATACATACATACATACGTACGTACGTACGTACGTACGTATATATAGGTGCGGACCCACTCACATTTGACTGCCCATCCAAAATCTTAATTTACTTGTAATTTTATGAGTTTTTAGTAGCAAATAGTAAAATGCCCCCATTAAAAAAAAATTAAGCTCCCTTCCCTCTTTTTTGTCATATTTTTTTCTCTCAAAATGAGATTTGCCCCCACTAATAATCTTTTTTGGGTCCGTCACTGCATTCATACATACATACATATGTGTGTATATTGAGTTAGATAGATGACATTAATTACTGCATTCATTAGACTATATATATATATTAGGAATTTGTCATGCGGTATGCACGCAGTTATGCATATTGGTGGTTGTGGATGTTATTAGGCACACCATTCATATCGATGCATAACATATATATATATATATATATATATATATATATATACACATACACACACATACATAACTTCAATTGGTACACAATTTTAGTTGGTACTTTTTTAGTTTAAGGGTGAGGCATGCAATCTTATTGTTTGGTATACGATACATTCTAGATGCTCCTATATACACTACTATACAAATGATATGTACACCTATCTTGATTTGAACGTGATAATTTGACAAATTAATGATCACATATCTCATGATAAACCACGTTAAACAACCATTTAAAATAATTTTTCTAAGATGCAGTTAATGATAATTTAACTTTTATAGGAGCATATATAACTTAAATATGAAACAAAACTATCATGCAAAAGTAATATACATATCATTAAATTGGGTTGGTATTTTTAGAAATTTGTGACATATATATGGTATTAAGATTTTAATGCATCGTGTATCCAACTCACTTTAATCTATAAAATTCAATTGAACAAAAAAAAATGAATATCAGATGAGAATGGTCTTTTTAAAAAATCAAATAGACAAAATTTCCGTAATAGAAATTTTTGTCCCGATACTAAATTTAACAAAATATTGAATTGAGAGGGAAAACATATAGGATTATAAAATTCTCTCCATAGTATATTTAATCAAATGAAAGGCCAACATTTTTTATATACAATTGGAAAAGATGAAACAATAAACAAATCGTACAGTAATTATAACCAAATCATCCAAAAAAAAATTTCATATAAGTAGACCGTTTTGCGAGAAGCTAGTTAAGAGAAGTGCTACAATCATAATCCGTTGTAGTCTAGGTGGTTAGGATACTCGGCTCTCACCCGAGAGACCCGGGTTCAAGTCCCGGCAACGGAATGTTTTTGTTTTGGGCCAACAATCAGGTTAATATGGGCTGGGCCGTTATGTTATATAATCCTTAAGCTATATGTTTGGGCTTTCTAAATAAGGCCCACAAATAGTCATTTTTTGAGCGGTTAAGTTACATCGAGCCGAATATATATTTTTTTTTTTGGTTTAATGTGATTGTTATATTACTACCAAAAAATAACCCGAAGGTTTACATGAGTTTAACATGTACCACAGATCCCGAGAGATAATGATTCCTATTACAAGTGAACAAAAATAACGAAAACTTAAATCTCAGTCATAATACATAAGGCGATACCATTGTTGGAGGGGGTCATTTGATCCGGTAGAATCCGACTTGTGCAAGGATATGAGTATGTTCCGCATTATCCTATCGATCTTGAACTGCAATTGTTGTGGCGAGTTTGCGACGTCTTTATGTGTCTGTCCATTACGTTCCTTCCAAATCTCGTATACTACTAGCTGCAAGAGAAGACTCTTGATTAGCTTTGTTGTCCGTTGGGTTGTCGTGAGATGTTGATTAATCCACGGCCCGGCGTCCACAACCACTCTAGGGGAGAGCCTCCAAGATTTCCTGCAAGACGGGTGAGCCGAATATATTTGTTTTTCCATGGCCGGTATCTTAAGGCGAAATTGGGTCAATGTTGTTTTTTTCAATTTACTAAAGTATTTATCTGATATTTTATTTATATTAACTTATTCTCGTTCAGCGTTTATAAAGTTCATTTTTCAATAGCAGAACGTACATCTTTCTACTTCGTTATTTATTAAATTTTAAACGGTTAAGATCCATTAGGTGACGGGTGACCCATCCATATAATGTCATATGCCATGTGATTATATATATATGTAACACGATTTAGTGTTGTCTTCTTCGAAAACATTAGGAAGACATACTTGCAATTTGTCGTACTGAAAAGCTATGGAAATATGTAAGATAAAATAAGGGAATAAAGATTAGAATACAAACTATAGTGTAAATATAATTCCAGTTGAAACATATGGACCCATTTCCACGTGAGTGCATGTTTTTTTTTTAATAAAAAAAATATTGCAGAATGCTGGAGTATTGAATAGAGATATTGTCCCAACACAAGATCTTGTAATGATATATCTTGTCCGAAAGCTTTTTGGATTCTTCTCGCCGGTTTCTGGTTCTCCGGTCACCGGAATCCGCCATGCCCCCATCAACCAGCGCCAAAGGGTCGTCCCTTTGCTGTTTCAGCATATGTATATTACAAATATATTTTTTAAAATCATTTTGTAAACAATTAAGATTAGATTAACAATATGATATTTGCCGATTATCATGTTGTTTGATTATATATAGCCGCATATTTCCGATAGTCGAACCCTTGGCATGTTCCACTCGACGTTTTATTGAAATCCATCTATAGTATTTGGACCGACCCCACTCTTTCGTGAAAAGCTCTACAAAAAAAAAAATATTTACATTGCACACATTTATCGCCATATATTTCTATAATACAAAATTAAGACAGTATATTTTTATATTTTAATAGTCGTATAAAAGATTGTGTAGGTTAATTTCAAAAGTTATATAATTTGGTGTGTGTGTATATATATAAATAAAAAGCCACGCGGAATTTTAAATTGTTTTCTATTTTCTTTTAGTGGGGTCCACAGAAATATAGAGATTGGATAGTGGAAAATCATGATTTTATGCGTCTTTCCGCTTTATGACTCATTTATGCTTTAATCAATCACTCACTATGACATAAAGATACAAATTTTCTGGATTATTTATTTGTATTAGCCTTACAAAACATTTTAATTCGTATAATTTGGTTTTTTTAATGGATCAGATATAAAATTGTTATGTGACAAATAGGTACCGCCATTTCTTGACCAACATAAAATACAATATCTCTGGCTATATATATACAAAAAACTTGGCAATATATTTTCTATTTTTATTCTTTTTTATACTATTATCAATATAACGAATATAACTGTTGTATTATTGATATTTTGTTTTAACAAAAAAAAATTAAAGAGAGGCATAGTAGGTTGTATAATTCAACTATAGCCACTAAGGCAAGCAAGTTGGAGAATTAAATTAGTTAATAGGTCATTACGAAACTTAAAACCCCAGATTAATACAAATGATTGATTTGCATTGGCGGTCGTACAATGAGCAGCTTATTAAAATAAAATAAAAATTTGAGAGTATATCATCATAATATTCGTGCGGAAAATTAGCCCCATCAATGGAAGATTTTAAATTACGAGATCTCTCCTCGGTCGTTGCTGTAGCCCCCACCAAAATGAAATATATTCTAATGAAAAAACTTATATAGTTTTAAATTCTGCAATTTCATTACAAAGTCCGAGTTCAAATTTTATTCCGTATTATATTAATGTCGATGATCGAACAGGGTAAGAAACTGTAAAAAAAAAAAATATATCGCATCAAATAAATTACCGATTTTTTTTTACATGGACAAAATTATATATATACAATTTAAAATTTATCAATAAATATGAATCTAGAACTGAGAAAAATTTCTTGGTCTAATGGTTTTGAGAAATTTGTTTATCTTCTCGAGTTATCGAATTTAAATATTATAGTGGAAATTTATTCGTAAAAAATAATAAATGAAAAATATATATTTTTTAGCCGGAGAGATACTCCTCATTTTTTTCACCCCTCTCTCTTTCTCTCTTTGTGACATTTTTTTTACAGAATTTCATATTCTCTGCTCAAAAAGAAAAATAAACGATGTCCTCATCGGATCATCAAACGCCGACGAGCGATCCACAGGAGCAGCCGTCGTCCTCTGGCCACCGCCACCAACCGCAAACGCAAACGGGGCAGCTCAGCCGCTACGAGTCCCAGAAACGCCGCGACTGGAACACTTTCCTCCAATACCTAAAGTCCCAGAACCCGCCGGTCTCCACGTCTCGTTTCGATTATTCGCACGTGCTCAGTTTCCTCCAGTACTTAGACCAGTTCGGTAAGACCAAGGTATGTAACCGCAAATATACCCAGCTCATCATAATTAATTATTCTTCTCTTCGTCGATTACAAAAAAAATATTCCTGAATCTTTGATTTGGTACCAAAAACAAAAACAAACAAACGTAGGTCCATGACCAAGCATGCGTGTTCTTCGGACAACCAAACCCGCCAGCGCCATGCACGTGTCCCCTCCGACAGGCGTGGGGGAGTCTTGATGCTCTGATCGGACGACTGAGAGCAGCTTACGAGGAACACGGCGGCGGGTCGCCGGAAAACAACCCCTTTGGTAACGGAGCGATTAGGGTTCATCTGAGGGAAGTTCGAGAGGCTCAAGCCAGAGCTCGTGGGATAACCCACAGGAAGAAGAAGAAGAGGAAGAAGATGATCAGTTGTGGAAATACCCTCAAGAATCAGGCCCAAAACGACGTCGTTGCCGAGAAGGAACCTCCAAACCCTTCGGCTCAATCCACTGCTTGATCAGACATTATTGGTAATAATCAGCCCCGCCGGTTTATTCTGAATTATCCATTCGATCGATTAATTTTTCATGAATTTGGATTTTTGGGACAATATTTTTTATTCTCACCCAAATCTCAAATGCATTTAGGTTGTTGTACAAGTAAAAGAGGACAAAACGGGAAATTCAAATACTAAACGTAATAGACTTTGAAATGATCCAATATTTCCTGATAACGTTAAATCTGATGGATGCATGGAGATGATTTAATTTAAATTCATACACCATTAATGTAAACCTGAGACGTATTGCATACCTTACTAAGTTGGCTGTAGGTTACATGATTCAAATTAATCTAAGGTCATAATTAAAAATAATTAAGATGATTAGATATTAAATATGTACCTTTTTTTTTAATTTCTGTTAGCTTTTGATGCGTGTGGCATTGTGGGCATCCTCTCAAATAACCCTTCGGCATGTTGCGTATTTCCGCAAGCAGGTAAAGCAATGTTCTTGCATACACGGATGTTACACATCACGCACACACAGACACGCATTATATATATATATATATATATGTTATCGCATGTATTGTCCCGTGAACAATTTACTTAAATACATGAAACGAAAAATCGGCAATCTTTTATTTTGTCAATTAAATACAGATACTGACAACTATATATAAACAGAAATTAGCATAATCTTACCATAATGATTGGTTGGAGTTTGGTAGAATATATACTAGGATGGTTAGGATAACGTTATTTTATTCCCTATTGCCTTATTCTTTAATATATCATCCATTGATGGCTTAAAAGAAAAAAAAAAAGAATATATATGTTATAGATATATATATGCATATATATATGTATGTAGCTAATGTAATAATTAATGGTTTTAGGTCGCATAGAACTGTAGGTTTAACAGTCTAAAATTCAAACAATTGTGAAAGTGTATGCTTATGAAATGCAATGTTATGTCAATATGTCGGTTGCTTGTTGCAAATGACAAAATGATACAACTTATAACATGTATCAAAACTCTTTAAAATTATATAGTATAGTATATGATGTATTTGTGTGATGAAAATATACAAAGCTGAATACATTAGCATTGAGTTTTTTGTCCACGTGTGTGTATACAGCGTATAAAACATGTATAATACGTATTTTATCAGTTTAATTTTTTTTATCAAGATCCGTTTTCCTCCATCCGTTGCAGATATATCAAGGACATATACAGATGGTCGAAAATGTAGAAGATGAACTCGATTTGATCATGCCCTCCGAAAAAGCCTCCATATTCCGATACAATTTTGAGCCAAATTCTTTCCCGGTATGTAATCCAATCTTGCACTATTATATATATATATATATATATATACATGTAATAGTGAAATCAAATCACTCGTTATGGTATGGGTAGGGTTCTTAAATTTGGTAGGCCCAATGGGCTTTTCTCCGCTTTACGAGACTATCACAAAAGGAAATATATAGATATGTATGTACAAAACAATTAGACAAATGTACGTAGATATATATATAATAAATTTGAATGTTACATACCCTTTTAAAAAAAATTCACAACATTTTTTTTACGAAAGGAAATAATGTATTTATTACAACACATGTTTGGTTAGGTTCATTCAGGACGATGATTCAATACATGTACGTCATAAAACTATATCATTTAAGCACACGATCCAATTAAAATGTATCAATCGAGGACAAAGCGTCTGTTAAGAGCGTCTTCGAACCGAAGACAAGAGGCAGTTCTCATCTCCGACGACAACCCATCGTCCTGCGGCGCCGGATAACTGTCTTGTCGGATCTGAACATCCCTCAGATTTGGAATCTTCAACAGAAACATCATCAAATGCTCGTTAACTGTTCCGTGTATCACAAGTCTCCTCATGCTGACGCACATCGATATGAGACTAGCGCCAGGAAGGGATAAGCTTCTGTGGTTAATGTCCGGATCATGAGGCAGCGAATAATCGAACGTCTCTATCCGCAGATTATCGATGCCTTTGAGGTAAAACCTTTCCCATATGTTCAAGTCGGTGTGACCTGGAGGAGCGGTTAGGGCATAGCCGATAACTCCGCTGCAATCTAGATGCAGTCTTGAGAGATTGGGGTAACTTGCGAGACAAGTAAGCCCGAAAGATTCGGGTTGTGGTTTGTTCAAGTGCCTGCAGTCTCCTTCGACTTTTATATGAATCTCTTCTAGAGATGGGCAGTCATTTAAACCCAATACAGGCCACGGATTTAATGGTGAACCGATCGGAATCCATAGAGAAAGGTATTGGAGTTTAGCCCATGTCCTAGATCTAACTGATACAGCGTGTTCTTCTGTAACCTGTCCATCGATCTCCCAAATACAATCAAGGTGTAACCTTTGAATCCGATCTTGGATCAGTCTCAAAGCGTAGAGGGAATAAAAAAAGTTCAGATTCTGGCATTTAGAGATCCTTACATCAGTCAGACTGTTCTTCAGAATAAACATGAATTTAGACAACCCGGTTTCCGTAATCTTATTACACCCTCGGACCTCAAATTTCGACAACTTTTGGCAGCCGAGAGCGATTGCTACAAGGCAAGAGAATCTGTTAGATCGGCAGAGTGTTTTATGGACAAATGTTTTAACCCTTGACAGAACACAATCCCATCAGGCTTGGCGTCAATTCCACGGCAAATTCCATGGAAATTTCCAAGCTTTAAGGAACTGAGGCCAGGACACATGGAACCAAGTGATTCCAAGGCTTGCCAAACATCTCGAACATTATAGCCAATATCAAGAACTAAATCCTCAATCAAAGGAAGGTGGATAAAGACTTGAACAAGAGAGGAATTACTTAATAGCGAGTCTTGTGTCGTGTATCCTTCATCGTCAAACCTGTCAACTCCGAGGATGGCGTTGGACAAAGATATGTCAACAAGGTGCAGAACGTGGAGAAGGGGACAATTCAAAGAAACGGCCAGCAAAGCCTTGTTCCCGACAAAACCAGTGATCCTACGATCGAACGAGCAAGTCGCTAGAAACTCGTTGAGATTAGGGCAAGCTTCAGTGATGGCTATAACCTCGTCGGACTTGAAACCAGAACTGGAAAAATGAGTTAGGATATTGAGATGTGATAGAGAGGCCGATATAGAGGGAAACACGTGTAGAGCCTGGGGAAGATCCTCTGTCCAGCAATAGAAATCAGAAAGGTCGAGAGATGAAAGGGAAGACGAATGTTCGAACAAGGGAACAAACTCATGACCAAGAGAGAGAGAAGGAGGACGGGGATGGAGACGAACAAGCTTTACATGGCTCAAACAAGGCCATTGAGGGGCAAGGTAACGCAAATCGGCAAAAGGGTTTCTTGCGTAACAAGTCAAAGAGACGACCAAGGGAAAAGCTTTGCCCAAGAGATGAGCAAGAAGGTGAGAGGAAGAAGGGGGAGCCGTGGGATCAAAGAGAGGGTATCCCCAAGGAGAAAGAAGAGAAATATCAAGGCGAGTGACTCTACAGAAACAAGTGGGCACAAGGAAGAGATCGCGAACGGTTCCTCGAAGAGTGAGGGAGGAACGAGAAAAACGTTCAAGAACTCGCCATTTATGGCAGACGACCGACATGGAATTGCGCGTGCGAGTGTCTTCGATGCACAAGAAGATGCCAGAAATAATAGTTTCTGGCATATCATTGAAGTGAAGACCCGCGTTGTATATTGTCTCTCTATTCATATATATATATATCTCTTATGGCAAATATGTGATGAGGGATCAATGATGCACATATATATAACCATGAATGACCATGTGTTACACACATATATATAATAGTTGGTAATTTGTACGAACTAAAAATGCATGGAGACCCATGGATTTGGGAGAAAGGATCTTTTATGTGGTGTTCGAGATGTGTGCAAACATTTTGTGAGGGCGAAGATAGAAAAGAATCAAGAAAAGGGCTTTGGATGTGGAGAATAAGAAACTAAAGCACCCACCGGCTTGTATAGATAATTCGTGGTGTGAAATATACTCGCTTTAGTGTATACATACTTGGCATGTACGGATAAATATTCGAGGTCATAAAAATTTCTCAAACTAAATAGTGTGTGTGTGTGTATATATATATAAAAGGGACAGAGATTCTCGCATTGGTTGAATCTCGACCAGACAGTTCCCCTTTTGGACATTGACTCCATCCGCTTGGTGACATTGCCACTCACTTCACTTAAAGGTACGTTGTTCTTTCTTCGAGCCAATTTTGTTTTTGTTGGTGTTTTTCAACCTTTCAAGATTTGTAATATTTTTCTACGCGAGTTATTTAAATTTCGAATTTATAACATCGCAGAAAGCCAAATACATTATTGTAGATAAAAACAAAAGTAAACAGAACAAACCACATAATATTTGATTCTATTCGATCTCAGTCGAGTTGAACCCCATACTAAATTTGATAAATCTTTTTCATTCTTTAAATAAAATTTTAACTTAGTCCTGGGTCTTAGATTTCTTTATATAACAACGAGATTTCACTAAATGTTTTTTTTTGGTTTTCTATTAATGATATAAGCGTAAAAACAATAACTTTAAATTAAAAGGTAGTCATGTCTGACAATAATATAATATTCTTTCAAAAAATACTGTTTTCAATGAAGGACAATTCTTTTAGTTTTTTTTTTTACGTGAAATTGTTATTATAATTTTAAAAAAATATTTTTGTTTTAAATTTTATAAAAATTATAAAGAAGTGTTTTTTTAAATAAAAAAAATTAATCAATGGGTCGTGACCCCACTACAAAAGAAGTAGGTCCGGCCGTGTGTGTGTATATGTATAGCAAAGGAAGACATGTGAAATATTAACGTACGTACGTACAACGACATGGAATGGCGTGATTACAATATATTAATTAATTTATGACGATGATTATGTTATGGTTACATGGAATGGAATGTGCCACGACAATTGGGCCTCGAATCCTCTGCAAAATAGCCTAGAAAATTGTTCCCATGAAAGAAACTTATGGATATGAAATTACAAACGTGGATGCTGCATGACCCTCTCGTTAAAACATGTCCTATACCTTCCAAAATCGACCGACTCCCAATTGTTCAATTAATTTAATACCATATATATATATATATATACACATGTATATGGCTTTACGTATCGTCGACGTCGTCACGCCTGCGACTTGAAGAAACTCACAAGTTTTAACGAATCATTCTCTAGAATATATCATACATTTTCTGGATCGCGATGCGGACATGAAAATATTTTATATCTCGAGGTCCATCTCATGCGTTCGGAACCTTATTAATTAGGGTTTTATTTCAAAGTATGGTGGAATGGTAACTCGAATCTTCTTCGTCTCCTCCTTATACAAACCGATAATACGAAACTTTCGATCTACAGAAATAAAATCAAATCTAAATATTACGTAATCTTTTCGAATCTTCTCCATATCTCTTAATATACAGATGGCGTAAGCATGACATTTGCATGCGAGGCTAGTCATAAATTGAGGATACGTATTCGTTTTTAATCGAAATTCTTAGTCGGTCTTGTTATGTTATATATATGTATACACATAATATTCGTATACATACTCGAAACCCGTCTCTGGAAAAGGCAATAGCAATTTGCCGATTTACGAATATAAGATAAGAGAACAGAAGACAAAGGGTAAAATGGTAAATCATCACAACACGCCAAAAACGACGCCGCGTAAGAAAACCCAGTGCGGTTCGACGCTGGTGCAGATCATCGAAGCGCCGCTGGAAGTGGTGTGGTCAATACTACGTCGTTTCGAAAACCCACAAGCGTACAAGCGGTTCGTAAGGACGTGCACCATACGCGCCGGCGACGGCGTCGGAAAAGGCTCCGTGAGGGATGTGACGATTGTCTCCGGCCTCCCCGCGGCGTTCAGCTCCGAGAGGCTCGACGAGCTCGACGACGATTCCCACGTCATCGTCGTCAGCTTCATCGGCGGCGACCACCGCCTTCAAAATTACCGGTCGACCACGACGGCGATGGCCCACGTGTCGTCATCGGAGACGGAGAAGACGGTGGTGGTGGAGAGTTACGAGGTGGATGTGCCCGACGGGAACACGGAGGAAGATACGACGTCGTTTGCTGATGCCATCATTCGGTCTAACCTTAGGTCATTGGCTAAGCTTACGGAGAAGATGGTGCGTGGTTAGAGTCCTTAATTATGGGTTTTATGATTAGTTTTAACGCTAATCCTTTCATTTGCATCCGACCAAGAGGATTAGTTTCATCTGGATGTGGGCTCCACTGGTTCTACAAATTTAATTAGAAAGTGGTCTTTTAATCCAATGGTGGGAGACATGTCCCAGCGAGAGACTTTATCCGATGGGGCCGTGCTCACCATACACACCACGTAAATGCCGTCAGATCTACGCATCCAGAAGATCTAACGGCTGTAGAGTAACGCAATTCGTATTAGGGTCTCTCCGGCATAGACGAAGCGGCAAGCACGTATGAGCTTAACTTGAATAATATTAAAAAACATTAAAGAATTGAAAAGTGGGGCCCATGGAGACCGCATTGTACTTTGATTAGACTCTTTAATCTTTCCCGCCGTTTCCTTGCTTCCGGTCTAAATCGGCGTATTTTTTTTTAATCTGATTTAAAGAGTATTAAATTTAAAAAATGTAGACGCATTTTATTTGAATTGATTGAAGAATATAAGAGACAATTCCAATGATTTTATAGTTGAGTGAATACGATTTTGTAATTTCAAGTGTCAATATTTTTCAAAAGCTAAGAAATAATAAACGTGTTATAATTGTGGAAAACGTGGAATGCCAAAACAGGCTATCAGGGCCTTAGGGCTTCACTTACGGGGGAAATTCAGAAAAACAAAAACAGAGAGTTTTTGAGGAAAAAAATGTTGAAACAATAAAAAAATAGAAAAATTCGGAGAGAGAGAGAGAGAGAGAGAGAGAGAGAGAGGGAGAGAGGGAGAAAAAAACAGAGGGGGGAGAGAGGGGGAGAAACCCACCACCCTTTGGCCCCTGGAGAGACCAAAGATGGTCGAAGAGAGAAAACTCTGAGATCATCATCCTCATCATCATCCTCCTGCAAAAACGCAAGGACAGTTCAAAGGAGAAAATCAGACATCATTATCCTGATCAATTTTTTTAATCTTTTTATTACCATAATCGAATTTCCTTTTTCTGATTTCTCAATCCCCCCACCAACCTTCTCTTCTTCCTCTCCTCCTACTGCTTCGCTTTCCAGAAACATACGCTTTATTGTTTTCTCCAGAATTTCCATTGCCATGGTAAGGAATTTCTTCTTTCTTGGTAAGCTTCGTTCCCCTAATTATTTGTTTGATCTCTTTACGCATTTTGAAATGATTTTCATTTGGGTGGCTGAAAAAGATGAACTTTTTTTTTGTTTTGTTTCTGTGGGTTCGAAGCTTTCTCCACATCGCTTCTTCAAGAGGGCATCCCCTCTTCTTTTACAACATTGTTTCATAACTTTCTACAAAGTCCTGGCCTTTATTTGTGGGCATTTTTTTCAGGTGTTGAGGGGCAGCCAGAAGAAGAGAATCGCGGATTGTTGATATTCAGAAATGAAAATCTTGAACAGAAGGGTTTTGTGAAATTAATTTGCAAAACTCCAAAGATGAGGGACCCTGATGCTACGCGCACCTCCTGCCATGGATCTGCAGTTTTCTGTATTACACTTTCTTGTCTCTAGATACGAATACGATGTCTAGTCCACAATTTTTGTCGTAGAAGGGGATTGGGTTTTTCTATCGTCCTTGGAAAAACCTGGAGATTTTGTATAGTTTTGTGGTCTGTGCTGTTGGGGAAACATCGCCGTTTGTTGACCTAAAATGTGTTGGAGATGGGGTCCAATCGGATTCCAGCTCTCTTGCTTCATGTACTTGATCATTGGCCTTCAAACTTCCTCCTTCTCCCTTGATTCTGAAGGTAAACTTTTTGGATCATATTCTCTCTTGCTTATCCTTGGATGTTTTTGTTCTGATGGTTTGTTCTGAATGTAGGATTCGCGTTGTCGAAGTTCCGGGCAAGGATAGACTCGGATCCTCATGGAGCTCTTGCAAACTGGGATGGTGATAAGGTGTGTTCGTGGTCGGGTGTAAACTGTGTGGATGGCAAAGTGCAAATGCTGTAAGTAACTCTGAAATTATTGGTAACTGTTTTGATGTCTCCAAGGAAACATCTTTCTTGCTGTTGGAATCTTGTTGTATGTCTCATTGGAGACATATTTCTGATGATTTCATAGGAACCTGAGCAGATGTTCTTTGGAAGGAACGTTAGCTCCCGAGCTTAGCCAGCTTACTGATCTAAGATTTCTGTAAGTGTTTATATATCTCGTAAGTTTTACTGGTTTTGATTTCGTTTTGTTGACCGACTAAGACGAAAACGAGTTTTTGTTTTGGTATTTGGTCGGTTGATCCTACCGACATTTTGATTGTTTGTTGGAACTGAACATTGTATTACTTTTTCACAGAATATTATCCAAGAACCATTTCTTTGGTGGCATTCCAAAGGAGTTTGGGGCCTTCACAAAGCTAGAAATATTGGATTTGCAGGATAATAACTTGAGCGGGCAAATTCCGGCCGAGCTAAGCAATGTGCTGTCGCTTAAACACTTGTAAGTTCACCACATTTTTGTATACCCTACCCTCGATTATATTTTATACCGAGAACAATTTGTTGGATGAATTTCGGTTCTGTTCTTTGTTTTTGCTACCTTGACGTATCCAGATCGATTTCCGGCAACAGATTTGAGGGTGAAGTCCAGTTTAACAGGAGCTTAGAACATTATCCTCTTGTGTTTGGTTGTGCAAACAGAAAACTTGGACACTGGTAGGATGTTTTTCCATCTCAAAGTCTGGTTTTGTTACCTAACAGATATTTGTGTTCATATCTTCTTGCTACGTTTATGTAACAGTGTTACGAGGAGCAGTTTTATACGACCAAACAAGGCGGGAGATTTCATGTCGCAGATTAAAGCGACTTACCGACGTTATATCAATGCTATTCCTTTCAAGATGTATACAATTCGAAACCCTCTCTCTATTTATATTTCATCTTCACTCTGTCCCTCACATTGATAATGTTTTTTGTTTTGTATCATCTTCATGGTCTCAGGTTCAACAAGGGATCTCTTTCCGATCACGAGCAGAATTTCGTATCGAATCTCCCGAGTAAGATAAGATGGTTACTCTATAAGTTAAGCGGTGAAGCTTATGTTTAGGACCTGCATATGAAGAAATCACATCCATTTGATCATACAGGTTATTTGGAGGAAGGTGATGTTTTCAAACAACGTCGGTTACTTGAAGAGACAAGTAATTTGGCAGCTATGCCTACTGCACCTGCAGCTGGCCCTTCTCCCGGGATTTCTCCCGAGGCGTTCTCACGGAGCAGCGGGTCTTTCCCTGCGGTTCCCAATGCAAAGAAGAGAACTCCTCCTTTGATCCCTCTCCCGCCTTCTCCTCCTCGGGACAATAACATTCCCAACACAAAAGCCGATCCCTCCTCAAACCCGTCACAAGATGACAGAAAATCTGAAAAACATGTATGGTTGTATGTGGTTACAGGTCTTGCTGCTTTTGTAATTATATTGGTTATAGTAGCAGTTATAGTTTTCTGTCGGAGAAGAGCTGCAAAGACTATAGGCCCATGGAAGACCGGTCTGAGTGGACAGCTGCAGAAAGCATTTGTTACCGGTAAGTTTTCTTAGTAACAGTTTCTTTACCACCCTTTCACTCGTCTCTCTATTACCGAACACAAGTGAATGATGTGACATGAAACTCAGGTGTGCCAAAGCTGAACCGGCATGAACTAGAGACAGCATGTGAGGATTTCAGCAATATCATAGAGGCGTTTGATGGTTACACTGTCTACAAAGGAACTCTGTCCAGTGGAGTCGAAATAGCCGTTGTTTCAACCGCCATTTCCGCCTCCAAAGAATGGACGAGAGCCATGGAAATGGCGTATCGCAGAAAGGTTACACCTTTAGCTTAAGGGTCAAGACTTTATTCCTCGAGGGTCTCCTTTGGATTCTCATGATTTGAGTTTTTTTTTCGGTAGATTGACACTCTCTCACGGATCAACCACAAGAACTTTGTGAATCTGATTGGGTACTGCGAAGAGGATGAACCCTTCAATAGAATGATGGTCTTCGAATATGCTCCAAACGGAAATCTCTATGAACATTTGCACGGTAAGCATCTGTCTCCATCGCGGATCAAAGCATCGTCTCTCATCCTTTTAAAAGGCTAAACAATTTTTTCACGATATTGTCAGATGAGGAGATGGAACATCTTGATTGGAGTGCTCGTATGAGAATAATAATGGGAATGGCTTATTGTCTCCAATACATGCATGAACTAAACCCGCATGTTGCACACTCGAACCTAAGCTCATCGGCTATCTACCTGACCGATGATTACGCAGCCAAGGTTTGTTTTCCGCTAAGCTCTAGACTTCTTGAATCTAAAGGGACCTTCTTTTAAGCCTCCAAGGATATTCTCGAAACCACGTTCTCAGGTTGCAGAGGTTCCTTTTAGCTCGGAAACTGGACTGAAGCCGAGAAAGAGTGGTGACTTAGACCAATCCGTATTGCCAGTACCTCCTGAACCAGAGAGCAATGTCTACACCTATGGAGTGTTGCTGCTCGAGATCATCTCTGGGAAGCTCTCGTATTCAGACGAAGGAGGGTCGATAGAGCAATGGGTATGTAGATTTTGATCAGAACACTTGTGGGCAGCTGCCTAAATATCTGGAAACTTAAAGCCTTTAATGATCTGAAAATTTCTGGCGTGTAGGCGTCAAAGTGTTTGGAAAGCGAAAACTTGGGAGATATGGTTGATCCGACGCTGAAGAGCTTCAAATACGAGGAGCTGGAAATCATCTGCAACGTGACCCGACAGTGCCTGAGACCAGAGCCAAGAGACAGACCGACCATGAAAGAGGTCGCAGAGCAATTGGAGCAAGTTATCAACATCTCTCCCGACCAGGCCACTCCTAGACTCTCTCCTCTCTGGTGGGCCGAGCTCGAGATCTTGTCCTCCGAGGCCACTTGATCTCTCTCTTTCTCTCCCCCCACACGTAACACTCCACAAGAATCAGAGGTTTTCCTTTCAAAATTAATTGCATTCCACCATGGTGCCTGCCTAGAGTATGTGTATCTCTCTTCTTCTCTCCATTTTTTTTTCTGGTTCTTGGTTCGGTTTTTCTTGTACGATCTTTTGATTCTCTTCAACATTGGATTTGTATCTTTGCCTCCGTTTTTTTTTTGTCAAAGCATTGGATTTGTATCTTGTCGTTCGTTTTTTTCATGTCCTGATAGTATTACTGTTCCCTTGGCCATTGAGTGTGTTAACGTCCAATAGTTAAACGTCGGATACAGTACGAGAGCTCGATGTGTTTGTATAACGTATACTGCATACATACTACGCGTATATTGTACGTATTATTTTGGTCAATCGTCGTCATAAAACCAAGCCCTCTTTAGTTGTAAAGATATATATGTCTGTATTCGTCTCCGTATAAAGATGTGTATATGAAAGGAAAGGTGAACACCGTCTTCATCATTCACTTCTATATTCTGTTTCATAATTTATAATATCATCTCAGGGAACCCAGATCATTGAGAGCATATCCAGACAAAAAAAAAAAATCTCATGAAGCTTATAGTTATCTGCTTGCTTGCACATGTACTTCCACCTCAGTTCAGGCAGACAAATTCAAGAACAACCCTGAATAATGTTATCAGACAAAACACAACTTGCATCTGCACAAGACAAGTCACATATGATTCATAAAACTTAAGGGTCCCATTTAGGCAAAGTCTTTGTCCATAAAAATCCCCACACAAAAAAATCAGTGGTTCGGACTGAACTGAAGAAGATCAAACCGCGTTCATGTGCATGTGGCCGACCCTAAATAAACTTGGGATTAAGGCGATGTTGTTGTACGACTCGGTATATAATACAGTAGTAATCTATGAACTATAATGCCATTGCGACCGAATTTATTCCATTTCAATAAAAGATATCAATCTTGATTCCTAATATAGAAAAAGCTCTGATTTGCTGAGAGTGAGAACTGACATGTCCATTCTAAGCACTGATTGAATTTGCCATTTACAAGTTACAAGATGACTCCTCAAGCCTATATATGTAATGCAACAATTCTGAAGGATAGTGAGTGGGTGCAGATTCTAAGCTTTCTATGAAATGGTACAATGTAATGCCAAGAGATATGTCCTATGTTTTCACATACCTGTATGCTGCTCTCTGCAGGTAGGGTATGATCCTGAACCTGTGACCAAAACCATATCGAAAGAACTGATAAGATTAGCCGTATATTCGGTTTGTATTCCATTCTATTCAGCCCAAGTTCAGAACAATGGAAACTCCTATAGATGAGGAGACGAATGGCATACCCTTATGGATGCCATCTTTCTCCGATTCTTCTTCCTTTCATGTTCATCTCTTAGTTCACTTCCCCTTCTCCTCATCTCTATTCAGTGTCAGAAGGCAAATCTACAGGTGGAGTGTCAGAAGGCAGGAATGTGGATGGAGCAGCTCCTCCGGCTGCAGATTCAACCATGGTTTCCGCCTCATGGTCTGCCGTCAAATTCTGCAATTTGGGTCTCAACTCCTTGTTGCAGAACTCCTCGTACTCTGTTTGATCCCCTCCTTTCTTCTTGACCTCCACAACCACCAGTGAAGGAGTCAGTTCGAATATCTCTGCAGCAATTGTCAACGGACCTTTGACGCCTTGTCTATAACCTTCTAAACTCACTCTGCAATCTTTCTTCCTGACTGTAAAGCTCACAACTTTGGCAATCTCTTCCAATTTCGAAATGATCTTCGAAACGGGCGCTACAGATATGAACCTAGAACCCTCGCCACCCTCCTCGAACAAGCCTGATAAATCAAAACCTGGTGAGAACGATATAAGATCAAAGGCATTCAAGCTCGCCGGTCTCGGAAGTGACCCGACTCTCCTTCTGGGCTCAAAAAACTCAGCATCTGATTCAGAAACACAAGAAGATCGGTCCGAGGAGGATTCAATTGAATCCATTTCGTCATCTTCAACGTTGCAAAGCTTATCATCTTCCACATAGAACTTGATGTGCTTAAACCCTTTCTTGAACCAACTTTTGTCCATAATCTCCGGAATTGTGAATCGGGTTTCAGGGTTTGTGTCCAGGAGCCGAGTCAACAACCGGATAAGCTCCGGCGAAAACCATCTAGGACACCGGAACTCGCCCTTGTAGATCTTCTTATACATGGCCATGACGTTACGGTCATTGAATGGTAGATAACCAGCCATTAACACGAACAGGATGACCCCACACGACCAAATATCGACCTTCGCCGCGTCGTAGCCTCTTCGGGCAAGAACCTCAGGCGCAACGTACGCCGGTGTACCACAGAAAGTGTGAAACAGACCGTCCTGACGAATCTGGTCGGAAACCGCGCTGAGACCGAAGTCGGAGACTTTGAGATTGCCGTTCTCGTCGAGAAGCAAATTCTCCGGCTTCAGATCCCGGTGATACACACCGCGGGCGTGGCAAAACCCCACGGCGGAGATCAGCTGCTGAAAATATTTCCGGGCAACTTCCTCCTTCAACCGCCCCTTCGCGACCTTATTGAAAAGCTCGCCGCCTCGGACATACTCCATGACGAAGTAGATCTTGGCTTTCGTCGCCATGACTTCGAACAGCTGCACGATGTTCGGATGTCGGACGCGGCGGAGGATGGAAATCTCGCGCTTGATGTGAGCGATCAACCCGTCTTTGAGAACTTTCTCCTTGTCGATCACTTTAATGGCGACGCTCTCGCCGGATTTCACGTTCCGGGCGAGATAAACCTTCGCGAAGGTTCCATGGCCGAGAAGCTTACCCATTTCGTATTTTCCCATGACAAGAGCTTGTGGGCCGCTCTTCTCTTTCGTCATCGTCATCGCTTTGCTCAGCAAATCCGCCATGAAAGCAAAATTCCGAGTCTCTGGGCTTCCGTGTACGCTACTGGTTTCGCCTGAGGAGAGAAAGGGCATCAATGAACCGCCATGGGAGGCGGATAATTCGAGATTTCTGGGCGTTCAGAATTCGCCTCTTGCTTGGATTTCGAATGCGCCTTGTTGCGATCTGGTCGTAAATCTCGAGAGGTTGCAGGAGAAGTCCTCTCACACCGCACAAATAGAAGCTCTGTTGTAAATATTTGGAATATGCCTTATCCCATTTCCTCATATCAAAGTCCATAACTATTGTAACAATATTGTATTTAAATCCGGTGCTACCGAATTTCACTTTTTATTATTAAATGAAAGATATTTTATTCCCAAACTATTTATTCATGATTTACAATTATTGTATTTAAGGCATAATTGTGTAAGTTGATGCAGTGTAATCATTAATAATCATTTGACGTAATATAAGTTGAAAATGAATAATTAATAGCTAATCGAATAAAGTATTTCCGAAAAAAGCTGAGGTTTTTTCGTTTTTACCAGATAAATTTGTGGGCCTTCTATTGGGCCCCGTAATGACCTTTGAGCCCTTTTTTAAAACCATATCACTGCATTATAAAGGCCGAGCACATTGCAGGAGTGTGTGTGTGTATATATAGTATGGATTTTATTTTATTTTATTTAATTATTATAAATATCATAGCATAAAGTGGCTATTTAATATATATGGAAATTTTGATAAAAGCGTATAAAATGTACAATCAATAAGTCAGTCTCATGCATATTTGAACAAAGAAGGGAAATATATGTAGTGCGAAAAAAAAATAATATAATATTTTTTTGTTTCATCGATGTTAGAGATTATCATCAATCACCAATAAATATAAAATACAAACACTATAAGTAAAGCTACGCTATTAGGTAATAATTGAAGCCATGTAATTTGGCCGTAAAAAAACCCAAAATAATAAATCGAAAAATTGTAAAGTGAAGAAACATTAATGCTTTTTTAATCAAATGGTCAACATTGATCTCCAATTAACCATGCCTACTTTCTATACACACACATATAATTCTTAGAAAATTATAACAGCAGAACTTTTAGTGCATTAATGATTTTATTTTGGAATAAATTGTATAGAATATTTTTGAGGATTCTAAAGTATAATTAAAATTTAAATATATGAGAATATTAAGGATTTTATATATTTTTTAAATTTACATATGTATATGTGTACACATACATAACAAAACCAAATTCAGTGGATCGTGTTGACGAGAGTATTTCAGAATTGATTGGATATATTAATGGATCATAAGACATTTCGTTTTATTACATTAATATATATATATATATATATATATATATATATATATATATTTAAGGGAGAATTAAATATCGATATGATAATTCATGGAAGTAGGCCATTGAGTTCGATGGAGGGCAAAATCGTCTTATATCATGTGGAGCGGTTAATCGCTATGCAAAGCAACGCAAATTCCTTGCCCCTGTAATTACCGAACCACGCCGAGGGTGTTTCTGTAAATTACATAATTAATGGAAAAATTTAAATAAAAATAAAAAATCGAAATCAGATGGCTAATAGAGCGAGAAGAAAGGGAGCTGGAGTCACATGGGCTTGTTCTTCGTCTCTCTCCTCTCATCCCTGGGTCCTCTCTCTCTCTCTCTCTCTCTCTAGCATGATCATCACCAACCAAACTGATTGAACCCATTACTTCAAAAGCTTCCCTTAATATCTTCTCTTCCTCTCCCTCTCTGTATCTCTTTCGCCATGGCTGAGGATAAGGTAAGCACCTAAGCTTCCTTTCTCTCTCTCTCTCCGCGAAGATCTCATTGTTTTTCCCCCGAGGAAAGGGTTTCCACATTTCACCCTCATTTTGTTTTATACCTGGTTCTCTTTTCCTTCTAGATTCGTGGTATCCGATAAAAAAGGCAAGTCCAAAGATGTTCGTACTTTTTTTTAAGTTTTGGGTTTCTTCGGTATCTTTTAATTGAATCAGTGATAGACAGGCAGGGGTTAGGGAGAAATCGGATTCTCTGGTATTTGGGGCATGGATTTTCGTGTTTCGAAAACTTTACGAGCTTTCCGTTTTCTATTAGATATTCCTTGAAATCCTCTAAGCTCTCAGAAGGGGTTGCTTAGGGTTTCTGGGTTCTGCGAAGTAGTCCTCTTTTTGGCGATCTAACTGTTATTGGGTTACTCGAGGTGGAAAAAAGAGCTGATTTAGAAGCTTTGGAGTTTTGGAAATTGTATGGGGGCGTGTGAATTAGGCAACTTTTCCTGAGATTTTCGCCATTTTCCATAAATGGGTCACTTTGGGTTACTAGATTCTGTAAATTAGCTTCTTATAGCGGCGATCTAGCTTCGCAACCTTACCGGCGGAAAACTATAGCTGTTTCTGAGGTTGTCGGTCTCGATCTATGGTATCTTGTTTATGTCTTTACTGAACAACCTAAAGTTCGTCATATTTGGTACATCATGGGTTGGGCATGAATCAATTCTTCTTGAGATCTTTGTTTGTCGTATGCTTCATCGTTCTCCTTGTTTCATGTTTTTTCCTTACCTGAATGCTCATCTTTCAGGAGATGTCGGCGGCTGTAGTTGATGGGCATGATCAAGTTACTGGTCACATAATTTCCACCACCATTGGAGGAAAAAATGGAGAACCAAAACAGGTATTTTAGATTAACAGCAAACAGGATTTGTTGTCTGCAGATCCTGGTTTGTCTTCTGATACATTTTTTTTCTGGCTCTTGTAGACAATTAGTTACATGGCTGAGCGTGTTGTAGGAACAGGATCATTTGGGGTAGTTTTCCAGGTACGTGGAGCTTCTCTTCCGTGATAAAGTTTGCTCTTTTGCGGCTTTTGCGGGGTTAAACTTGCTCTTTTGGTTTTCAACAGGCAAAATGTTTGGAAACCCGGGAAACTGTGGCGATTAAGAAGGTTTTGCAGGATCGGAGATATAAGAATCGAGAGCTGCAGATAATGCGTGTGATGGATCATCCAAATGTGATTTCTTTGAAGCATTGCTTCTTCTCTACCACAAGTAAAGATGAGCTTTTCCTCAATTTGGTTATGGAGTATGTGCCTGAGAGCTTGTATCGGGTACTGAAACACTACAGCAGTGCTAACCAAAGGATGCCGCTTATCTATGTGAAACTTTATATGTATCAGGTAGACTTTAATATCTTGTTCGAAAATTGATGTGAAGGATATAATCCCCTGTTATTATCATTTGAGATAATTACTCTTTTTTTTTTCTTGCAGATATTCCATGGACTTGCGTATATCCACAATGTTGCCGGTATTTGTCACAGAGATCTGAAGCCTCAAAATCTTTTGGTATGCATTTCTAGAGGGAAATGATGTAAAATAACAAACGGGTTCCGCCGGTTTTTCTAAGTTTGCTTTTGTGGTTTCCGCAGGTTGATCCTCTCACTCATCAAGTCAAGATCTGTGACTTTGGAAGTGCAAAACAGCTGGTATGGCCCTTCATGTTGCTCGAAACTTTTGCTAATTCCTTATCAGTAACATAAGTTTTTTGGAAGAAGACTTGTCATGTAATATATTGTCTTAGCATGTCATCATAAATTTGCATGTGATCGTATGCGGAACCGTATGCATAATTTATCATAAATGTCTTTACTCTTGATGTGCTTGTGATCAGGTTAAAGGCGAAGCCAACATTTCTTACATATGTTCGCGTTTCTACCGAGCCCCTGAACTTATATTTGGTGCCACGGAATACACAACTTCCATTGATATCTGGTCAGCTGGCTGTGTTCTTGCCGAGCTTCTTCTTGGCCAAGTAAGCATTTGTCACCTCTGGAAACTAGAATCTCCTATTTCCTCTGCATTCTTGTTTCTATTACTATATGCTCCTCGGAAAGAGTTTCTCTCACAGTTTCGTACTTGTTCATTTGCAGCCATTATTTCCAGGAGAAAATGCTGTGGATCAGCTCGTAGAAATTATAAAGGTAAAATATCTAATTATGGTTCTTAATAATTATGCATGGAAGCTGTAGCCAAGCATCACTAGCAACAAACCCTCATGCATAATTGTTGGAAACAGGTCCTTGGTACACCAACTCGAGAAGAAATCCGTTGCATGAACCCGAATTACACAGATTTTAGGTTTCCACAGATAAAGGCACATCCTTGGCACAAGGTTTTCTTCCTCTTTCTTCATCAAATTCTTATTTCGATTTTACTCTGATTGCTGCTGGTTGTGTTCTTATTGCTTGCTACTCATCTGTGTAGATATTCCACAAACGAATGCCTCCAGAAGCAATTGATCTTGCATCCAGGCTGCTCCAATACTCCCCAAGCCTTAGATGCACCATGGTGAGTTTAACCATTTTTTCATCCCCCCTTTTAGTAGTAGTAAAACATGTACATTTCTACCGAGAAATCTCATATAATCATGATCGGCTTTCAGCTTGAAGCGTGTGCTCATCCATTCTTTGATGAACTCCGAGACCCTAATGCCCGTCTTCCAAATGGCCGACCTTTCCCACCTCTATTCAACTTCAAACAAGAGGTACTTTCCTCTCGACATTTTCGTCACCGTCTTTCAACTCACGTTGAAGTGAAAGTGCTCTTACTTACAAACCGAATGTTGTGTTCAACAGATAGCCGGAGCATCGCCAGAGCTTGTCAACAAGTTGATACCCGATCACGTCAAGAGACAACTGGGTCTCGGTTTCATGCATCCGACCGGGACATAAAGATCCCTCGCCAGACTCGGGTAGACAAACAGAGTTATGTAAATGTGTATGTATACGCCGGCAAGATGACATCTGAGACAATGCACTCGTCGAATGGTTCCTCACTCATCAGAATAGTTAGATGGTAACACGGCTGCGCCAGAATTGCGCAGTAGTGCTTCTCTTCTCCTTTTAGCTTAAGAAAGAGCTGAAAAGAGAAAGGGACCGCTCTTGTGTTTTCTTTCTCATCTTTGTGTCTGTAAATTACTTTGCCACATACATATATACACACACACACATATACATATATATAACATATATATATATATATATACATATATATAACATATATATATATATATACATATATATATATATATATATAT